AATGAATGCCCAACCTTTACTTTTCCTACTATTTTTAGAAGGAAGAGTTTTAAAAAAAAAATCAGGATTGCTACTGGAGAATGATAAGAAGGTCTGGAGAAACACAGACTTTCTTTCGGTTTACTGCATATTTGCATGAAATAATTTATAGCCTATTTGAAAGTTATGTAAACCATCTCTGGTTATTATTTTTATTTTCTTAATGTTCAGCTGTGAATCTACTTTTGCACTTATTTCAACAACTGTTTCAAGTCTTTCCTGTCTTTTCCCAGCAGTATGGTGTCATCTGCATGTTTTAAATGGTTGATGTTCCTTCATTCAGTTTTCATGTGTCCTTCCTTCACATCAAATCTTGCTTTACATAAGATGTTTTCAGCACACAGTTAAACAGATAGGGTGATAAAGTACAGCATTGATGGACCTCCTTGCCAATTGGAAACCATTGCGCTTCTCCAAATTCTGTCTTACGGTCCTTCCATACAGTCCTATATTCCAGAATATCAAGGCAGAAAATCCCACATTATCTGAGTGTCGACTCAGATAACCGAGTTCAAAGCAGATATTGTGGGATTTTCTGCCTTGATATTCTGGGATATAGGGCTGTGTGGAAGGGCCCTTAATGGTAGCCCCTTGTTCTGAGTACAGCTTGCACATTAGAGCAGTCAAATGATGTGACACCCCATATGTTTAAGAGTACATAGCCTTATACAATCAAAGGTTTTTCTGTCATCTATAAAGTTTAATAAAGCAAAACTATTTTTACATTATTGTTTAATTTAATGGGGATGTTGTATTTTGGCATGATTGTTGCTTTCGTATTCTTGTTTTATTTTACATTAATGGTTGATATTAACAGTTGATAGTCTGTGTCACAGTCTACTCCTGGTCTTGTTTTTGCAGAGAGAATGCCTGTTGAAGAGGTAAAAGTGTGATGCTCATTTCCCATTTCCCCTCAGTCACATCTAGAGTCTTCCACTGTTTCTCAATGTTTTGTGTTGGACTTGAATCATGAAATAAAACTATATTTAAATCTATTCAAGTGACAGGGCTGGAAATGGTTCACACAAGAAAATTATGGGGTTGCTTCTCTAGATGAGCTCATATATAGGGCACAGTTGTTGTTGCTGCATGCTGTCAACTCTATCGTGGGGTTTTCTTGGAAAGGTTTGTTCAGCTGGGGTATGCTTTTTGCCTTCCTGCTGCTGTTTTTCAGGGAATGACATTGCTTACATGGAGAGTAATGATTTGGTGAGAGCCAATGTGGCTGTAGTGGTTTGAGTTTTCATAAAATGATAGAGTTGGAAGAGACTTCATGGGCCATCCAATCCAGCCTCTTGCCAAGAAGCAGGGAAAATCGCATTCAGAGCACCCCGACTGATGGCCATCCAGCCTCTGCTTAAAAGCCTCCAAAGAAGGAGCCTCCATCACACTCTGGGGCAGAGAGTTCCACTGCTCAAAAGCTCTCACAGTCATTTAGTGAATTGTATCAACTTTTTAATTTAATTTTTTGGGAGTAGGAAAATTCTTGTCCAAGAAAGTTGAGCGATGAGGAACTTTTGGGGTTTTCCAAACTTCTTAGCTGGTGGGCGGGTGGGCTTTGAGCCCAGATAATTCTTAGACTGTATAGAGCAGTTCTGTGAGACTGAAATTGATTTGTAATTAATTTAAATTTTAGAGTGACAGACACAGCCTAAATAAGAAACTTCAAAATCATATGTTTATGGCAACCAGAATAATTTCTGTGCCTGCTGGGAAACTGCTTAGTATGGGATACCAACACTATTAGGTGGAAGTAAAGTTCTGGTGCAAAATGCACTTAAGTGCAAATCACATGTTCTGTCTACAGTACTCTAAATGATAAAGAGGAGGACCTCTGTGCTCCTCCTCACTGTTTGAGTACCACATGCTTTGATATTTGTTGAGGTTTGGCTGCAGGAAACCAATGGATATAAAAATCTGTGGATGCTCAATCCTCATTATACACAATGGTGTAGCAAAATTGTCCCTTATATAAAATGGCAAAAAGATTTGCTGTTTAGAATTTAAAAAGATAAATCAAGCTGTGGATGGTTGAATCCATGGATACAGAGGACTGGCTGCATCAAAATAGCTTCTCTGTTGACGTTTCCATTATTTGTTTCCTTGGTGGTGTGAGGGGAAGAAATGTGGGTTAAATACCCCTTGGCCTTTATCTCATAATCTGAGATAAAGGAATGTACTGACGTATATAGCTTGCCTTTCACCTTTTGGTACCAGGTCAGGGGATAACCATATCAAGCGAACACACTTTAAAAATAATACCACAACTACCAGCATTTGTCTGCATTTCAAGTGAATGTAGGGAGTCCCTGTAGCCAGGGCTTCTCCATCTTGAGGGAAGGAATTAAGGTGAATCCACTATAGAGGTAACAACAACAACAATAGTAAATTATTATTTGTTACCTGCATCTCCTCATGGCAGGATACGGTATAGTTAAACCAGACAGAGAGAACACAATATGTAGAGCAAATATTAAAACACTAGCTGGCAGCTTGACACCACTTTAACTGCTGTGGCTCAGTGCTGTGGGAGTTGTAGTTGGCTGAGCTAGTGGTGGGCCAAGACCCTTCTTTTCAGACAGGCTTTTAAAGATGAAAGCCAGGAGGTGCTGTGTTTTATATGTTTATTTCTATGTTTAATTCTATTTTTATGTATATATGTGTGAGGTTTTAATTCACACATGGCAGGCTATACATATGTACATACTATGTACTACTATTAATAATTATAAGCCCCCAGCCATCTTTGGCAGAGAAAGCTAAAGATGGCATCAGACTACAAATCCCAGGACACTATAACACTTTTTTTTTGGTGTCAGGAGCAACTTGAGAAAGTGCAAGTTGCCTCTTGTGTGAGAAAATTGGCCGTCTGCAAGGATGTTGCCCAGGGGACGCCCAGATGTTTGATGTTTTTTTACCATTCTTGTGGGAGGCATCTCTCACATCCCCACATGGGGAGCTGGAGCCCTTGATGGTGCAATGGGTAAACCCTTGTGCCGGCAGGACTGCTGTCCGACAGGTCAGCGGTTCGAATCCAGGTAGAGCAGATTGAGATCCCTCTGTCAGCTCTAGCTCCCCATGGGGAGGGATGTGAGAGAAGCCTCCCACAGGGATGGTAAAATATCAAACATCTGGGTGTCCCTGGGAAATGTTCTTGTAGACAGCTTATTCTCTCACACCAGAAGTGACTTGCAGTTTCTCAAGTTGCTCCTGACATGGAGCTGACAGAGGGAACTCAACCCGCTCTCCCCAGATTTGAACTGCTGATCTGTTGGTCAGCGGTCCTGCTGACACAAGGGTTTCTCAACTTGTGTGTCCCCAGATGTTTTGGCCTTCAACTCCCAGAAATCCTAACAGCTGGTAAACTGGCTGGGATTTCCGGGAGTTGTAGGCCAAAACACCCGGGGACCCACAGGTTGAGAACCACTGATTTAGCCCATTGTGCCACGGGGGGCAATGGCATAACACTGAGCCAAGGGAGTTAAAGTGCTCTCAAAGGGCATTGATTCAGCAGTGATCATCATCTTCCCTGAGAGGTGAGCTCCCTGAGCTCAGCCAGGCGGGCTTGACAGGAATGGCACCTCCTCCTCTTGCCTCCCTTTTTGTATTATGTTTTTGTCCTCCCTGGCCAAGTAGCAGAGCTGAAGGAAAGAAGGACAGAAGGAGGGAGGGAGGGAGGGAAGGAGGGTGGCGTTTGGGGTCTGCTGGGCTGGGTCTCTGCCTGCCTCCGCCTTCTCCCTCCCTCCCTCCCTCCCTCCCTCTCGCAGGCAACCCAACAATAGCAGCAGCAGCAGGGAGGCATTAGCAGTAGTAGTGGAGTGGGCCTAGGGCCTGGCAGGAGGATGCTCAAAAGGAGGAGACACAGAGGAGGGTAAGCGGGGAAGGGTGTGTGTGTGTGTGTGGGGCTGCTCTGGGTTGAGAGGGGAGAAGGAGGGCTGCCCAGCGAGGGGAGACTTGGAGGAGAGGGTAGCGAGGAGAGCCAAGGAAGGAGAAGGGCGAGGACAAGGAAATGCCTGGAGCCTTGTCTGAGGCAGAGCACGGCTGCTTGTGAGGGGAGGCAGCAGCCACAGCAGCGTTGGGGAGGGGGATCTTAAAATGGAGGCCATTTGGAGTCATCTGGGGAGTACGAAGATGCCTCTCTCTCTCTCTGCATGAGTGTCACTACGGTGTCAGGACAAATGAGCTCAGGGGGAGGCCCCCCCCCCAAAGCAGCCCACTTCTGAACCTCATTTTCAAGGTTGCGGAGGGGACTGATCCATTTCAGGCCCTAATAGGTTTTGTGGGAAAGTGTGTGTATATGTGTGTGTATCAGAGAGAGAAATGGAGTTGGGGTGGAGAGGGGAATGAGATAGTGTTGGATAAGGTGCTTAAAGTGGGTGTGAATGGCTTGAAGCATCAATATGAGGGGGGCAATGCATGTGTGGGTGAGACGGTGTGGGGAACATGTGTCCCCAGACAACATTGGCTAAACTAGTGTTTTATTTGGAGGGCGGTCTATAAAAGAATGCTTGCTCTGATAGGATGCTGTTTAATTTGATACCCTCTCCCAATGACTTTGGGGTGTATCAAGATGGGTGTTATCAGAAGTGTGGTGTCTGGGAGAATGGGGGGTATTGGATGGTCTGAGGTCCCTTTGCTTTTAAGGTACCCCCCCCCCCTTTCCTGGCTGCAGCTGTTTCCCTTACTTTAAGGGGATTCAGCCCCAGCAATGCTCCAGATGTCTGCAATCCCTGCAGCTTGGGAGCTGGGTTTAGTCTCTTTGTGCTGAGCCATGTAGACGTTGGCATTACCCAGCCGCCGTCGTCCCCTTTTGCAAACCAGGAATGCGGCCAAGGAAACGTAGTCCTCCCAAGCACACTGTTTGAGTCGGCTGAGCGCCCTTGGCTTCAGTCTCGCCTGGAGTACCGTGCTAGACCTTGGCACGGCTGGTATGTACGCAGGAATGTGTTGCTTGGCATGCAGCACGATGCTAAGGAGGGATGTGCAGACGCGGGTCTCTTATCTGCAAGGCCTTCTGGGAGGGAGCTTATGTCTGGGCTGAGGGTCAGCTTGGCAAGGGGAAATCGGGAGCACCCTGTCTTCTGGGGGCTGCGGGAGCCAGCTTTTTCCACAGGAGAATCCTTCGTGCTGCTTATTGGAGCATCTCAAAGCAACCGTTGACCCAAACATCCCCGACTGCCAGGTTTAATTAGACCCACTGTGTGTGTGCGTCACGAGGAAACTGGAGATGCAAGGGGAGGTGGGTGTTGCAAAGCTGTCACTGGCTTCGGGGTTTTCTCTCATGCCACCTTCACCCTCCATGCTGTAGTGGCTGGACCGTGGGCTCCAGTTCCTTTTTCAAAATTGGAAGGCCTTCCCCGAGATGTTCAAGCTTCTTGCGGATTATGTTGGAGCCAGATCTCCTCATGGGAACCAATTTAGGGCTTAGTCCTGGAATGCATTAAGTAATCATCTAAGCAAATAGATGCCTAAAGTGCAGAACACACCTCTGAGTCATAATGTTACCTGCAACCACAGCGATGCAGGTATGTGTTAAAAAGAACTAAGTTTTGATTTGGGTTCTTAAATGAATGGGAGTTGGGTTTGGACAACATGAAGACCTAAGGTAGACTGAGCCTGTGAGGAATCTCTTTCCTTCATAATTGGGTAATAACAGATGTATCACACAAATAATGGTTTGGGTGCAAAAATGCTTTTTAGTTGATAGCCAAGCAATTAAAGACCTGGCAGCTTTACTTACCATGTATGTTTTTTGGGGTTTGTGCCAGTTGTACATGTTAGACTGCATTGTCTTCCTGGAGCTGCAATGAAAACTAGAATTTCTCCTTCCTGGTCCTTCCTAACCCTGTTGGATCTGTCTCTTTTCAAAGGCCCGAGTCTTGTTTCAGAGAACTGCATACAAATGGTATATTCATATGTAATCTGTCATAGGTGTCGTCAAGAATATAAGCTGATCATATGTCTGATAAGATTTCAAACTGTAGTTGGCACTTACAGTATTTATGTCTAAGGTTGGAAAATATGATACATGTGTATATCTGTAATGCATATATATTATCTGTTTATATGTACTATAATATGAATTGTTATAGAATCTTGAATTTTACATATGCTATGAACATATTTCCTGTCTGCCCCAGCCCCTTTCCCCTAGTTTCAAGGAGTCATGGAAAGCTTTTCTATTTTCTTAGAAGATGGTAGAAAGGAAACAAAGGGGATGTAGGCTTCTGTGCATAAGCCTCTATCATGATTGACTTTACCTAATAGGCTCTTACACTGCAATTTTATTTTCTGTGGGTTCCTAGTGATGAAACATCCCAAAACATCCGGGTTTTTTTTTTTTTAAAAAAAAAACATTTCTTGAAGTAGTAGAGAAACTTCAGAGTTGCTACAGCAAATACTGCTGATAATGCATGGCAGAGGTTGGAGTAGATAGCTCTTGCAGTGCTTTCCAACCTTGTGATTATATGAGAACCATATTTTCACCTCTATCACCTGCCTATGCTGCATTAGGCTGGAAAATGTCAACAATACTCCTCCATAACATAATTAATAAACATTCCGGTTTTTATTTTTATATTTTAGAGTGGGGTTGGTCAAGCTTGTATGAGCGCCCCCCCCCCCCCCAACCCTCCAAACTAGAAATATCAAACAGCTACTCTGGGAGGCCTCCAGAAATGACAACAAAGGTGTTTTTAAAACATGATGTCTTGGAGCCCATAGTCTTAACTTTTCTCATCCCTGGACTGGTGAGTAGGATTGGTGGCTAGTGCAGTGTACACTAGATATTGTAATCCCAAACTGCAAGGTTTATTCTGTAGAGGAAGTGAAGAATACCTTTCTTCCTCTCTATCCTTACATTCTTAGGACTTTACTTGGCCAGTCTAGAGAATAAAAAGAATATTGTAATTTCCTCCAATTCATCCCCAAATCTATCCATTCAAGAGTTTCAAAAACCTAAAGAGACTAGAAATCTGTCTTCTTGGGTTTGCTTGTTATCCAGAAAGTGCTGTTGTTGAAAGAGGAAAAAGAAAATGTAAAATATTGTGGGCACCAGTTTGCCAAAGAACTTCATTAGACACAGTTGTTCTCCTTTTCCCTTCCTCAAATTCTTAAAGGGCCAGAGGAGACCTCAGCTTTGGCTTGTGTCAAACTAAAAATTACAAGCAGGCTGCCACTTTCACGAGAATTAGGGGCAGAGGATCCCTGCAAAAATAGAAATACTGCAAAACATTGCAAAAGTGGAATATTTCTAAAACTCTTAAACCATACTTAAAACATGCAAAAATGTATATGTACTGGTGGATTGACTGGACATGTGCTGCCTAGCTGGCTCAGTTGCGTGGGCAGGAGGTGAAGAAAAGGATAGGAAGGGGAAGTGGGAGAAAGGAGGGTCTACCCTTCCTCCCGCCCACTCATGCAAGTGAGCAAATGTACACATATACCCCCATTTCCTCTCTCCTGTGTGAGTGAACATGCATGCCTTCCTCCTCCACTAATGTGAATGAGTGTGGGAATATGCACACGGCCAGACCCAAACACCTCTCCAGTGTGACTTCCTTCCACAGCACTGGTGTTATTGAAATCCCTGTTAAAAGTGACCTAGGGCAGAAATGGAGGCAGTGGCAATACAGAAACACATTATCAAATCTGCCAGTTCTTACCCTGCAAATGACAGGGCCCCCTGTGGCACAGTGGGTTAAACCCCTGTGCCGGCAGGACTAAAGACTGACAGGTTGCAGGTTCGAATCCGTGGAGAGCGTGGATAAGCTCCCTCTATCACTCCAGCTCCTCATGTGGGGACATGAGAGAAGCCTCCCACAAGGATGGTAAAACATCAAAAACATCTGGACATCCCCTGGGAAATGTCCTTGCAGACAGCCAATTCTCTCATGCCAGAAGCAACTTGCAGTTTCTCAAGTCGCTTCTGACACGACAAAAAAAATTGTAAGTTGTGTTTCAGGCACCTCACTTTCAATTGCTTAACCTCAAAATAGCAATAGATAGGATCTTTGAATTCTTCAAATGCTTAGGCTTCTGTTAACATGAATTTTGAGCACTATTTTTTTTAACAAATGAACCTGGCCTTTTGCAAGCAAACACACCTTTATTGGCCATACCATTGTCCTTGCCTGAAGCATCATTCAGAAAGAAATTTCTCCTGAAATGGTTATTCGTGTGTTTGTTTTTCTTGCATTTCTTTCCCACCCTTCCTCCTGGGACCTTGAGATTGCTCTCAGTTTCTTCTGTTTTTCTATTTCTGTTTTATCCTTCTTGCAGTAACTCAATGAGTTTCCATGGCTGAGTGATGATTTTGAACCAGGGTCCTCTTGATCAAAACCTCTCTTCAAATTCTTTGTGCTAATCATCAAGCTTTACTGCCATCATTCTCTATAAGAATTGGTGTGAAACCTCACAAGTTGATCTCTTCCAAGGGACAGTCTTTCTCCCTTTTCTCAGTGGCAACAGCGAAAGATGCTTCATTCCTTTCATAATTGGGTGGTGTCATTTATGAGATCTACTGTTTCTCATCGGGGTGGTGATGTTTTCTTGAACACCCCCCCCCCCAAAAAAAGTAGTGAAGGAGAAGAAAAGGGGGAGGGGGGACACCTGCACTAGCAAATTCCAGACACTTTTGTCCTAGTTACTGCAAAGTCTCAGTATGCTGAATGAACATGCTGTTGTCTCTAATTCAGACATTTATGGTTTTTCTTTTTCGCTTTGTGGCAATCTTAATAGGTCTCCTGTGTAGGTAGTTTTCATTTCTTTAGAGCTGAGGAAGTCCAGTACACTTAGTTGCTTTGGCTGCTAGAATTGTTTTTGCTGGACTCAGGAAAACGGGATTCATCTTCTGACTCAGCTAATGCTCAGTGGATTACTTTGGACCATGTAGAAATTTGGACTAGATTTTGCTGCTTGGAGTCGCAAGAAGGAAGAATAAGATTTTAACCTAATACTACCACTCCCATCACAAATCTCCTGTGTATTAGATGCAGGCATTTCGCCTGTGATGTTAAGCAAGGCCTATGTTGGGGGCAGCAGTGGCCTCTACTCTGGTGCAGCCAGTGTTTGGTAACAGGATATGTTGTTGTTGTATTCAGTCTTTACCATTTCCAGTAAAGGGGTCACCAATAATGGGGCTGTGACACTCTGACTGGGCTCCAAATACAGTTAGTATTGCATTAAACTAAAAATGAGCTAATCTTTATATTGGGATCATGGAGCCTTTGGCAGCACAGATGTTTTTGGACTACAGTTCGCATAATTCCTTACTCTTAGTGTGCCAGTAAAACTTGGGCAGGTGGTGTCCAGAACATCTGGAGCACCTAAGGTTCCCCAGCCCTATTCTATAATTTTATATCACTGGTGCCAGTTGACTAAATCTGTAGACTGCCTCCCTTTCCAGGGCTTCCAGTGAGGATGTCATAAGCGAATGCTTATTGCACTTAAATGGTCAAATCCACCCTGTCTAGGATTCTGCCTCTTTTAAGAGTTAGCTGAGAATATACTCTTGAGAAGCAAATGATACAAACATCATGAGAGACCATAATTTCTGTGTGGCTTTCAGCATTTTGGAAACAAGTACTCTTGTTTCTGACCTTGGGAGCTCTGCCAATTGTCATCTGTGATTATTAGCCACCAATTGTCCTTATTTTCCTGAATTCACCCTTTTAAGGGACTACGATAGGGACTTCTGAGGTTTCTGGTTGCCCCATGGGCTGTGGAGGTACTGAAAGTCAAATCCATGTATGTGGTCTCCTCGGAGACCAAAAAAAAAAAACAAAAACAAAAACCTCCTTTTGAGGTGGTTGGGAATTAGGCTAGCATTTCTGTTGCTTTTCTTCTGGTGGCAAAACGTTTTTTTATCCAGTTGCCAAAGAAGGGAGTTTTGTGGATTGGCACTGTGGTCTTCTCCATACATTTCAAAATAGGTGTTTGTTTAGTTCAATAGTATTTTGATATTATGATTTGTCCCTTTGTGCTATGTTAAACACCTTGGGTGTACCTTTTTCATACTTCTGTAAACTGTCTTGAGGTCTAGTATTGGGAGAAAGGTAAGACGTAAAATAAGGTGGTTGGGTCCATCTGCCATTCCATAATACATGAAAAAAATTTCTTTGCACTTCCAAAACTTCAGTGTAGCAGTTTGCAGAGAGTGTGGTGAGAGTGACCAAGGGGAACTTTGTAGAGAAACAGGAACACACTGGAGAGGCCCTTGTACTAAAAATACCCTCCACTTGCTTTTGGGGCCTTTTACTTCCCCTCCTGGGTTCCCAGCATGCTTCTTTAAAAGTGACAGTCCCAATCTGGGTGTCATTCCGACACTGAAACTTGCTCAAAATGAGCACCTCTGTCCTAATCTTGGACTTTGTTTATTTTTCAGGTGAAAACAACTAAAGAAGGTGTGGAGATTTGGCCAGCTATAGTGATCACTGCCAGGTCATTGCAACAGGTATGGAAAAGACTAATGTAGAAAAGAATGTTTCATTTTTCTGAGGCAGAAAAATTCAGGCAGGCCTACTTCCCCACAACATTTCCATGTTTTCTACCCGGAAGCCCTCCTGAGGAACTACAATAAATGAGAGATGTGCAAAAGCACTACAGTGCTTGTGTAAAAAAAAAAAAAACCTGGTTTCTGATCTGATGTTTTCCACACTGTTGAAAACCTTCATCTCTCTGACTGCTTTCTTTTGCTTTATGCACCAGTTCTTCAGTGGCATATGCCATTGATCTTCAAAGCACTGAGATTCAGGGTTACAACTCAGAACTAGAAGAGAAAAAAACCATTTAGTTTGCGGAAACTAAAAAGGTGTGTATGGAGGAGGGGTGGATACAATGCAACCAATTATGACAGTTTGTGTGGAAGGCCCATCAATTGAATTTTAGTGCTGGCAACAAATTCCTAGTCTGAGATAAATTCAGAAGTGTTGGTTTTTTAATTACAGCGTATGCCTGTATTTCTTTGTTAAGATACTCCTTTGCATTTGGATCCAGAAAGTGGTTCTGGGGATCAAACAACAAAAGTTTGTTATGACCGAGAGGTTCAGAAAGCGAACCTAGATTCTGGACTGAAATCTTGTTTGTAGCCTATGCTTGTCCAGCAAGGGGGTGGGGGTGGGGATGGCTTTGCCTGCTGAAAACTTTGTTGGAGGTGTATGTGTGCAGCCCCATAAGTAAGTGAGTGTCCTACAGGATTGCAGCCTTAAATCGATGTGATCAATTTAACTGTTTAGTTCAGAACCTGGGGCCAGGTGAATGTTTTACAGCTACACTGGAAGTGGACTTGGATTTGGCAGCAACTTGAGATTGGTAACCATCTCCAGAGTGATGCAGAGAATATAAATATGTGAAACTGGTTTTCATATTGTCAGAGTGTTAGTCCACCCAGCTCTGTATTATCCTCTCTGATGCTCTTCAAAGACTTTTCAAAGTTTCCAAGAAAAGTCCTTTACATTTATTTCCAGTCAAGATTCTTTCATCTGGAAAGATGCTAGGTAATGTGTTTTAGAACAATCCCCCCCCCCCCAAGCTTGGAAAAGTCCCTATTTTGGCCTACGTCTCTCAGTGCCTACCAGCAGTAAGGCCAGACTGTCTTAGGAGTTACAGATCTTGTACTTGTAGTCCATCTCCAAAGGAAGTGCTTTTCATACATTAGGAGTCATATGAGCAAAACCTTCTCTGTGTGCTTGACAGCCAGGTCCCCGAGAGGTCATGCTAACCTAGAGAATTCCTCTCCTGTCACTTTTAATAGCTTGCCAGTTCCATGGGGAGATCTTCCCTTAAATAGCAAGGTCATAAGCTTTTTAGATCTCTAATGGTTAAGACCAACAACTTGAAGTGAATCTGGAAAACACCTGATTACCAATGCAGTTCATCCAGTGTTCTTGTATTTTACACCAATTGAAACTTCTCGACTTTCTTCAAGGGTTACCCTACATATAATATGTAGCAGTAATCTAAATGTGATGACAGAGGTAACCATTGCCAAATCGGACTAGCTCAACTTAGTTGTGTTTTTTTTTTAATTTGACTAGAAAACTGTAAACTAGAAGGATTTTTTAAAAAAGAACTCTCTTTAAGAAACAGGTTACCAATTTTGGAGTGCTCTCTGAGTTATGGACATAATGTCTTTCTTAGTACCACAAAATGGGTCATATTGTGGGACAGATGGCTTTCTCCAGTCCTGACCCATGAGGGCAGCAATTGCAAAGAGTTTGTCCAACTCTCACTTAACTTTACATAAAAGACATTGTTAGAGAGGTCTGGTTATATTGTGGCATAGGCATGGCTCTCTAGATGTTGTTGACTATGTTTTAAATGGCATGGTTAATCTCAACTAGTGTAGATTTGTTGAATCAATAGAATATAGTTGTGTGTTTTCTTACCATTTAACAGTTAATTCAGTGGGAGTATTCAAAATGGAACAAAGAAATATAATACAGCTGTAGTCCAACATTATTTGGGGATATTAGTTCCTGAATCACTGCCTTAAAGGAAAAAGATCGCAAATATCTGATTAATATAAGTAAATAATCTGGCATTGGTTTCCCCTCTGTTTTGCAACTCTAGTAGCTGAACAGAGGGACTCAGGTGTCTTTAGTGACGGTGTGGGGATGAGTACAAACTCAACAGAAGCAGCTTTTCCCATGTGGGAGATGCTGTGTTGGAACAAGCTGGGCTTGTTGAACTTTTGCCCGTTCTCTGTTACTGAAAGGTTTGATGCTTCTGTCAGAAAGACTCTCACAACTCTGCCGTCATTAGTGAACAACCTTTCTGTAAATTATTGGGAGCTCCCAGTGGGTGGGTTCAGATGCTCCTGTTTTGTCAGGGTTGGAGTGTATTCTTTGCTTGAAGAAAGACAGTTCTGTTCTTTTTGTCCAAAGGAAATGATGTCTGAAACCAAGCTGCAGGGTGAGACGAAGCCAGAAGGAGGAGGTGGTGAGCCAATGACAACTCAGGAACTTCTTCAGAGACTCCGTGAGCTGGAGGTACATGCTTTGTTCTTGGCTGCTCAAGGAACATCACTTTCTTTCCCATAGAGAGAATACATGTAGTTGAAGGACTAATGAAAGTAATAAATTGAAGTCTTACTGGAACTTCTTTTGCTGTCCTTGTTATCCTGTTCCCAGGGTAACAAGGTGGTGCTTTTAATGCTGTTCCACTTCCACACTAGACATATGATCCCTGCGTATCTTATGTTAATGCAGTTAGGAATTCCATGCAGCCCTCACAGCATTCACCACCATTGGCGGAGCATCATTTGGAGGCCACTGGATTCTCTTCACTGTTACAATTTGTGGGACTTTGCTCTTGTAGCTTCTTTAGCAGGATGTGGCCCTTGGAGGGTTTGCAAGAGGGAGTGCTCCCTAATTCAGCTCCTGGAAGTTACCCACTCCTGATTAAGACTGGCTGTAGAAGAGATGTCAGTGATACTTTCTTGCTGAGGATGGGGCAAGAAGCCCAGAGGCCTTAAAAAGGGATCCTAAACCACCTTGTATGGCTCCTTGTTGTTATGAGGCAGGTTAAATGGTTTCCAGAGCTTCAAATATCACTGGATATTTGCTGCTGGATGAGTCAAATTCTAGAGCTGTGTGCAGAATATGTGAGGACCCCTCTCCGCCCACAGCAAGTCACACTGTGTGAAGCTATTGTATCTCATGCCTATGTGTTTGGATTGCATGGGAGCCCTTTACACAGACACTTTGTAATGGACTTCTGGTCTTTCCATGGTCCAGCCACAAACCAAGTGAATAAATGAATTTGCACACCTCTTGTTTCTGAAGACTTACCTGGCCACTGAAGTCATTTTCTTTGGCCCCTCATTGGGATAGAGCAGGCATGGGCAAACTTCTGCCCTCTAGGTATTTTGGACTTCAACTCCCACAATTCCTAACAGCCGGTAGACTGTTAGGAATTGTGGGAGTTGAAGTCCAAAACACCCAGAGGGCCAGAGTTTTCCAGTGCCTGGGTTAGAGGCTTAATATTTGACTTGCAATGTTGTGGTGCAAAATCTTTCTTGAGATTTCCTTTCTCTCTTTACCTATTTGCCTCTGGGAGAGGATATGCAGGTTTCTGGCCCATTTTCTCCTCACATGTTACCCTGACTCTTCTCTACATCTGCAGGCAGAGAACTCAGCTTTAGCCCAAGCCAATGAGAACCAGCGAGAGACCTATGAACGCTGCCTGGATGAGGTACTGTCTTCCCACATGTTCTTCCGGTAGAGTTTTTCACTTTTCCTGCCCTAGCCTTTTTGCTCATGCCTATTTTTTATTTGTTACACAGGTAGCCAATCATGTGGTGCAAGCGCTTTTGAATCAAAAGGTAAATTTTCTATTCTTTGTCAGTTCCCTGTGCAGAAAAGAAAAAGAAGTCTTTGACTGAGATCTCCCTGATTTCAATCTTTAGAACAATCCTTTGTAATGGAATCACATAGAAAATAAAACTGTGAAGCTATGCTCTCTCGTCGAGAAGGAAAAATCCACAGAACTACACGGGACCTGCATCTTCACAAACATACAGGGGATCAATCTATTTAGCTGCCCTATTTTTCACCCCATCTGCATTATATATCCCTGGGCAGATTATTTGTACACCTGGTTAGCTGCCATCTGTTGCCACTTCATGATAGAAATACCCTTCCATTACTTTCTGGTTTATTCTCCCTTATCTTTAAGCCACTGTTTGGGATTTGACAGTTGGCTTTCTGCCAAGGGAAAGAGTAAGGGGATGATGCAGCTGCCAGTCTGTCTCTGTCATGCTGGGCAAAATGGTGCTCATGCTTCAACCTTTCCTCAGGACCTTCGTGAAGAATGCATCAAGCTGAAAAAGCGGGTCTTTGACCTCGAGAGGCAGAACCAGGCCCTCAGTGACCTCTTCCACCAGAAGCTGACCTCTGGCCCTCTCTCCCAGGTAGGTCCCTTAACACTCTTGTGCCACATGTATGCCTTTCCGCATGTTATTGGGTTGCAGTTCCCATCCACTCTAGTCAGCATCAAGTAAAGGTAAAGGTTTCCCCTTGACATTAAGTCTAGTTGTGTCCGACTCAGGAGGGTGGTGCTCATCTCCCTTTCTAAGCTGAAGAGTTGCCATTGTCCATAGATACCTTCAAGGTCATGTGGCCAGCATGACTACATGGAGTGCCATTACCTTCCCTCCGAAGTGGTACCTATTGATCTACTCACATTTGTGTGTTTTCGAACTGCTAGGTTGGCTGGGGCTAAAAGTGGGAGCTCACCCTGCTCCCCAGATTTGAACCGCTGACCTTTCGGTCAGCAAGTTCAGCAGCTCAACATCATCTGGGGTTTCAGGAGGGTCACACATTCATGAGAAAAATAGAGTTAGAGAGTTAAAGAAAGATATCTTGGAGCTCAGTTATGGCAAGGAATTTGTCAAGCATCTTATGTAGATCTTCCTGCCCTTGCATTGCAATCCCACTCCTCCCTGCCCTGGTTTCCAGGTACCTTTGCCTCAAAACAGCAGCCACTAAGGATTTCTTGTAAATCTTTCTGTGCAATGCAAACTTTTTTTTCTCCATGATGGTGCAGTTTTCATGCATCATCCTCATGCATTTGTGCAGTACAAATAATGCAAGTTGCACATGGTAAAGTTAAACATTACCTGGAAAGTATTTGGAACGTTAAAAGAAAGTAATAACTGGGGATGCTTGTCTTTCATTGTAGAAGTTTGTGTCTTTTCTTTGATTGTAAATCCATCCGTTACATGGGGCTATCCTTAACTAGTTGTCTTGCCCTGTGCAAATACATAGCGTCAACATAACCACTGTTTCATTTACTGCTGAGATCTTGGTTATCCAGTGCTTCAGCATCACCTGTTTTATATCTCACAAGCACATGGATGTATTGATATATGCATGTGGACACCCAGTGTCACAGGAGCTTGATTCCCAGGCACAACCCCCACCAGTGGGGAACGTATATGAATATACTTTCCGTATTCATTTATGGATTAGACAATTGGTACCTTCAGCTATGTTCTGATCAGTGTATGAGAAGCTGTTTGTGCAAAGCTATCTGTGTGGCTATTTGATTTTCACATGCTCCCAAAAAATCTGAGAATGCACTTGATTGAAATAATTCTCATCCTCCTGATACTCTCTTTCTTTCTCTGTTTGTATGTGTTGCTTATATGTATCTTGCTCCTACATATAATTCCATTGAGGCCATTCATTGTGTGAATTTTCTCCTCAGCTCCCAGCCCATCAGGCTTCTTTACTCTCAGTTCCATCATCTGGCTCCCAACCAGACACAGTAGACAAGCTCCCGCCTTCATTCCCAATGGGACGCTGCATCTTGCAGAGAGAGGTATGTTCTGCAAGCCTGCCTTGATTCACCCTTCCATGAATTACCTACAAGGATGGAGCATCTAGCACTGATTTTGTAGCACCCAGCTGTCTGGAATGTTTCCCCATTGCATAATGATTTGTAGCAGTTTAAGAGAGTGAAGGTGTACGTTTCTTGGAGAAGTTCCCAGACCTATTAATTCCTGCATTGCTGCACCGACTCAGTGCTGTGTATGCATGCTGTAGATGCAGCTGATGCTTCCTAGTCCCAGTCTCTAGTCCCTATCTCTTGCAGAATCATGGGAGTTTGGGGCACTCCTTGGTTCACCCAAGCCCTGCAAACAAAGAGAAATCTCATCATCATAGGTCAGTGTTTCGCAACCTTCCTAATGCCGTGACCCCTTAATACAGTTCCTCATGTTGTTTTTTTTAAATATCTTTATTGAGTTTTTCACAAGCAGTTAAAAAAAAAGGGGGAACTTAAAAGGGGTCTGGGACGGTGGGCGGGGAGGGATGGGAGGGAAAAAGGGAGAGAGGGAGCGGGGGGGGGGAGAGAAAGAGTTCGGGGGGGAAGTAGGGGGGGGGAAGGGAATTAAGAATAAAATTTGTGACCTCCCGGTATCATCTTAAGGGTCTCTTCTTTTCTTTTCCTCTTCTCCTTTTTCTCCTTCTTCCATTTCTTATTTATTCCTTTCTCCCTCTCATTTTTCGTRGGTTTCATTTTCGGTGGTATTTGTCTTGTTAATTTGTTAGGATCTTCTTGTTTCTTTCTTTAAAGTATTCTGACACCTTCTCCCAGTTTGTATCTTTCCTATTAATGCCTTTATTCCTTAATATTAGAAAGGTAAGCCGGTCCATGTTTTTAATTTCTAGTATCTTCGTTAAACGCTCATCTTCGTCCGGGATTTCTTTCTGTTTCCATTTTCGTGCATACAGTTCCTCATGTTGTGGTGACCCCCAACCATAAAATTATTTTTGTTGCTACTTCATAACTGTAATTTTGCGACTGTTATGAATTGTAAAGCAAATACCTGATATGCAGGATGTATTTTTAGTCACTGGCCCAAATTTGGCACAAATACCTGATATGTCCAAATTTGAATACTGATGGGATTGGGGGAAATTGATTTTGTCATTTGGGAGTTGTAGTTGCTGGGATTTATAGTTAATCTACAATCAAAGAGCATTTGAACTCCACCAATGATGGAATCAAACCAAACTTGGCACACACAACTCTGATGGCCAACAGAAAATACTGGAAGGGTTTGATGCGCATTGACCTTGTGTTTTGGAGTTGTTGTTCACCTAAATTCAGAGAGCACTGTAGACTCAAACAATGATAGATCTGGGCCAAACTTGGCATAAATACTCAATATGCCCAAATGTGAGCACTGGTGCCTCTTCAAAGTCCATAGCACTGTTGGTAACAGTTGACCTCCAGTTCCAGTGCTCAAGGACCAGGGCTTCCCAGTTCTTGGTGTGTATGCCACAATTGTTAAGGTTAGCTTTAGGCCCATATTTAAGCCTCTGACATTCCATTTTCCGTTCTTGAGCTGAGAGTAAAGTAACTGGGATATGTTGATCAAGTATTCAGACAACATAGCCAGTCTAACGAAATTGATGGTGGAGAATCATCACTTCAGTGCTGGTGATCTTTGCTTCTTCCAGAACGCTGACATTTGTCTGCATGTCTTCCCAAAAGATTTGCAGGATTTTTTGGAGGGTGATGCTGATGGAATATTTCCATAAGTTGAGAGTGACATTTGTAGGTGGTCCATATTTTGCAGGTGTACAACAGAGTTGGAAGAGCAGTAGCAATCTGAGATACGTAAGGAGGACAAAATTATCCTCCTGTGTGATTGTAATGCAATAATTGGGTGAGCTTTTGACCTGTAGCCAGGAACTACAGGGAAAGATGGGGTTGGAAACAGCACCTCAAATCCTATTTCTCACCAAATATGCCGGACACAAACACACTCTTCACTGCCATAGAGTACGTGGAGCCACTCCTGCTTTCTTTTCTTGGTGGAGCTCTTATGTGGCAAAAGAGCTTAGAAAAGCAAAGAAACCATTCCAAGCAGTTAGGGATAGGAAGGGCATTTAAATCTTCACTCCTTAGCTTCGCCAGAAGTTGGTTAGGAGACAGGTGGTTTCATCTTTAGATATGTATGATGGACGATGCAGGCTTGGCAGCAGGAGATAAAGACCAGAGCTGGAGGATTGCCTTTGGGCTCCTAGAATTACCCAGTCATCATGGAAAGGGCCCCTCAAAACTGCATAGTTCAGCTTAGCCCCCAACTCCCATTTCACCTTGTAGTTTCTTTGTCAGGCACATGCTTCCTTCAGAATTATTTATTTGCAGAATTCTTATTGCAAGATTGAAAGAGCCACAGAATAGGATGAAATCATGTTATCATTGAGGGGACAGAGCAACTTTGTTTTAATAATAATAAATAATAATAAAACTTTATTTATATTCCACCCTATTTCCCTGAAGAGACTCAGGACAGATTCCAATCACAAAAAGGCAAACATTCAATGCCTGAACATAACAACTAATAGACACATAATAACAAAAAATTAACTCCACAGCATATAACAACAAATTATAATTTAGCAAATTAGAAAAAAAATTAAACAACCTATTGTATCAGACATAAAATAAACATAAATCATAAAAACAAGTGTCAATTTCCCAGAGTCAACATAGTTCCTTGGGGGCATATAGATCACTGTTCAAGACATCAACAGAGCTAGCGGGGCAAAAAGACCCAAGTATGGATTGTAGATGTTACTTAGAGGTATAATAGCCTCCTTCCCTCCCATTTGGATAGTTCAGTCCCAGGCACCTGCCGTTTGGGTAGCAAGCAGTGTGAAAGTGCCCTTTTTGCTTGAGAGAGCCACTGGTGGTCAGAATAGACAGTGTTGGACTACATGGGCAAATAATCTGATCCAGAGGAATGCACTTTTCTACCTTTTGCAATAACAGAGAGAAATAATGTAGTCAAATGACACAGGTATGGGAATCTGAACACGGGTTTTCTTGTCCCTTTTTTCCCATCAGGTTATCTCTGAGGAACCCTGCATTGGCACTCCTGTTCCCAACACCCCCCAGGCCCTGGAAGCTCTGTCCCCCTTCCTGCGCAAGAAGGCCCAAATCCTGGAGGTGCTTCGTTCTCTGGAAGAGATGGACCCTCTGCTTGCTTTCCCTTCCCCTTGGAGAGACCCTGGGCAGCTGAGTTCCCCAGAGGGTGTGACTGCTGAAGCCTGGCCATGCCTGCTGCTGGCTCAGGGAGAAGCAGTGCCAAGGCAGCCACCCTTGAAAGGAGAAGGTAGCTCTTCCTCCTCCTCCGATGAAGCTGCTGAATCAGACCCCGTTGAGAGAGGGCACCCTGGGCAGGTGCTGCTGAGTGCTCTGGCTGAGCACAAGTTGGACCTGGGTGAGGTGGAGACTTATCTGCAGCAAGTCCTGAGGGAGGCAGGCGACAGTGCCCTACTCAACGGGGAACCCAATGGACCTTGCCTGGTGGGGGCTCCCAAGGGCCAGGTCAGCAGCTACAAGCACATCCAGGCTGTCAGTTGCCTGGAGGCTTTGGGGCCTGCCTCTGTCTGCATGGAGCCAGCCTACCTCGATGTCTTATCACCAAGTGAGGGCAAGGACAAGTCTCAGCAAGGCCCACCTATCCCCTCTCCATCCAAGGTCCTCAAGTTGCTGAAAATGCCACCACCGCCCAGCCCAGCTGCCCTCCGGCTCAGCCCCCAGCTTACCCGCAGTTCCAAAATTCCCTGCCGTAGCAACACCTACGAGGTGTACCACTCTCCAACACCCAGCCGCAAGGGGTCCCCGGACAGCCCCTTCCCCACCGAGTCCAGTATTGTTGGAGGGCAGCCCTCTCCCAAGTCTTCTCGGCACCTTGTTCCTGTTCCTTCCAAAGTCACACCCACTTCCCCGGATCCCTTTGGCTACCACAAACCACACGAATATGAGAACATCTTGGAGCTTTCCCTCAGCAGTGTCATAGGCGCTCATTCCCACCCAATGCGGGATAGCAAGCAAGATGTGCCAGAAGTACTTCCACCTGCCTGTCGCGCAGCTCCTCCTCAGGTCATGCCACCCTGTGAGGCCTCTCTGGAACCTTGTCCCTTCGTCAGTGGGCGAGAGAAGCCAGGCTCTGAGGGCAGGCACTCTCCGCCTATTGCTCGTCGGAACCCTGACAACTCTAAGAAGGCTGCAAGTGGCCCAAGCAAGCGAACCACACCTGAGGCAGCCAACATGCCTTTCAAAGAACGGCTCACTGTGCTTGGGAGGTTGAAGGGAGCTGAAGGAAAGGAGGTAGCAAGCTTTGAGAAGGGGAAGGCCCCAGCCCGACCCTGTGAACGTCCCGAAGGTCTTGCTGACACCCACCCCCGGCTGGGCAGTGGGAGCAACAGCCTCAAGTATCACGAGCCTTGCCACGGTGGCGAACCAACCCCCCGGTGCTACTCTTCTCATTCTGTCGGCTCCCGTGGGAGTGACCCCGAGCACCATGCCTCCAAGAACCGTCTGTTGGGAACGCCAGTATCAAGGAATCCAGCCAAGCCCCCGCCACCTGGGAAAAATGGAAAGAGTCCTCATGGGAGTCCAACAAAGTTACCCTCCAAATCACCCACGAAACCCCCTGTGCAAGAGCCCAAGCCATGTCCGCAACCAGCCAAACCACCCACCAGCATTGGACGCAAGAACCAGACTTGTCCTGATCCAGCTAAGGGCAAAGCTGGGCTCCCAGCCAGCATTGAAGAGAAAGTCATGAAAGGCATTGAGGAGAATGTTCTGCGGAGGCACAAAGGAGGCCCAGCAGCAGGTGAGACCAAGCAAAAGAACTCGAGTGGCATAGCCAGCTGGTTTGGCCTGCGCAAAAGCAAACTGCCTGCCCTTAGCCGAAGGCCTGAGCCCCCTAAAGTCAAGGAGGGCAAGTTGGCTTCTCGCCGGTTGGAGGCCGAGAGCCTCAACATTTCCAAACTTATGGAGAAAGCAGAAGACCTGCGCAAAGCCCTGGAGGAGGAAAAGGCCTACATCAATGGGCTGGCTCTGGACAAGCCTCGGCCCCATGCCTGTGACACCGGCCACAGCCAGCTCACCCTCATGTACCAGGAGGTAACAGCAGAGAACTTCATGCAGCAGCTGCTCAATAGGTAGGTCTGCCCTGCAGGTTTTCAAGCAATTTAGTTTCTGACCTTCTAACAAAGATGTATATCACGATTAAGGATTTTTTTCCTTACTAAGCCCAAGTACCAGATGTGTATCAAATTCAGAATTTTTGGCAAGTCTTGGGAGAGAGAAGAAATGGGTGTATGGGAGGACCCAATACCTATGGGCTGGGATTTCTTGTGGGAAAACTAGTTGCTCTCCTCTCCCCGTCTCTAACCTGTGAGCCTCCTCCAAATGTTGTTATTTGGTTTCCAACCTTCTCTTTGCTTTCATTCAGGTAGTGTCCCTTTATTTTTGTTTTAAGGAAAATGTGTAGTTCACTGTGCTGTTTAGTAGGTTTGGGTTTGTAGCCCGTAGCTGTCCAGTAGGTGAGACTGGAGTTTGAGGAGCGGCTCATAAGTGAAGGGAGACTTTTGTCATTCTCCTTTCTGCTCTGTTGCAGGGTGGATGGGAAGGAGGCCCCATTTGAGACTCACCTGGAGCAGAAGAATGAGCTGCAGGGCCTACAGAGAGGCCTGCGTGATGCCAAAGATCCCCGCCTCATCCGGACTCCGCGTAACGGCATTGTGGGGCACCTTCATTCTTGCCCAGAGGTCCCTGATAAGGTGAGCTAGCCCTGAGTACCACCATAGCCTTTCCCTTCCCTGACGTTCTTCATGGAGGAGCGCACCATACAGCTTCCCTGTTTCCTCATTTTCTTTTTCCTCTCACCATTTCCCCCATAGCTTCGCAATGCAACTTTGCAAGAGGAGATCCCGTCTGATGACAGCCTGGTCGAATCAGTGACCTCCCAGCATTTTCCAGGTAATGGTCATTTGAGCGGGGGTGGCGGGGGGTAACCTTTCTTCATACTGAAGAGCCAGTTTTGCCCAAAGAATGGGTGTGGAGAGTATCTGTGAACAGTTCAGGTGGCAGGAGAGAGGAAAACCAGGTAAATATTACCACTCTTAGTACAGAATTCATTTCTGTAGGAAGACTATAGACTCTGTTTCCAAAACCTATTTTTAAATAATTCATTACTTTATGCTTTTTATTTATTAATGTCTTTGAAAAGGACTATATTATAATTGATTATAATTATATTTTAAATATACCTTAGTCTAAAATCTTGTCCTCCAAGCAATACTTTGGACATCAAAAGGTACTGCTACCCATAACAATGAAAAAGTAAAAATATAAATGGTCATGAGATCCTGCATCATCAGTGTGATGGAGCTTTTCATGATAGTTATGTTGGACAGTCCCAAATACCTGTCATTGAGGCTGGGCATTTCCATGGCATTGCGGATTGGAGCACTGGGAAATGACATCTGCAGGGGTCTCGTATTAGTGGAGCATTTCGAGAACAGGCAGCCAGAGAGAGCCATCGTGGTCTTATCAAAACTGTGTGTCTCAGTTGCCCTACAACAAGCAGAGTACTGCAGACATCATTTCCCTTTATCCGCATCTGCTGACCCTCGGAGACTTGAGTCAGGACTCTGCCAAGCTGCAAAGATAGTTTGGGGGGCGGGGGGGGGGGGTTACTTTCTGTCATTACTGACTGTAGGCGTAAATCCCCAGTAGTTACAAAATCATCGCATCACTCTCACAGTCTTGTAACTGCTGAACAGGATGCTAGCTGGGTATATATAACATCAACATGCCTTTGTTACTTCGAAAAGAACTCATTTCCTCTCACTTTACAATACTCTCAAAAGTGCAATTTTGAATCGAGTTCAGTGGAAGGTCTGTTGAGGATTATCTCATCTTCACTTGCAAGCTTCCGTGAATTGTTCTCCATCTGTATTCAGGAAATAACCACCATAGAGATTTGTTTCCTAGAGGCTGTCTATAAGGAACAGAACCTGAATTGTACTCCAGAAACTGAAAGAAGAAAATCTGTGTAGAAATAAACTGGGTTTCTTCTGTGTCTGCTTTCCTCTGCCATATGTTAGGGTTTGATGTTGATGTTGCTTGTGATTTTTTAGACCATAATTATTTCAGTTTTGAGGAAGGTTGGAATTTGGATGTATAAAGAGAGTTTTTGGATTTGGAAGGAAGAGATAAAAGAGTAACTGAAGTTCTTTGTTCTCTGTGTTGCTCTCAGGGAACTAATTTAAATTCCAGAGGTTCTGATTCAGTCAAGTCTGCTTCCTTTTGAAAAAAATAGTTTGAGAATTTTTAAAAGATACTAAAATTACAAAACCTAAAAAATGAATTAAAGAGGAAGAAAAGGTCTGTCTGTTGAGTGTTATCTCTGCACATAATTATTCATACCTCCCTCCATAAACGTTACATCATATTATCTTCTTTCAACAACCAATTCACTCTATAATAATCAGAACCCAAAATCACCAATTCATTTTCTTTTTTTGTTCCCACAAAAAGTCTATAAGGAGTTTCAGATCGTACATAGAAAATGTGACTAACAATTTTTATTTAATCAAATCAAAACAAACATGTCAATTTCTATTAACTTTATTAGCTTCAGTGACCATTCTCAAATTTGCGTAGTTTTGAATTCTTCCAACTATGTGCTTTGTTCATATAGCTTAAAATATCTTCCACCTTCCATCATTTTCCCAATTGTACATCCATTATTCCAAAAAGGAACATTTCTAGTTTCTAATAATACACTTCTAATTGGATATTAATGTTTAAAGTTAATAATGTCTCTCCATATCATACATTCTCCATCGTGGTCTCTGTGAAATCGCACATATGGGTTTCCTGCACAGTTAGTTCGGAATCTTCTAGAAGCTCTTTAGGATATATTTTGGCGGTAGCCCCTCGTTCTCCCCATGGAGGTATATAGCCAGTGGGAGGGGCTACAGCTTCAGTTCCTTTTGTCCGCCACTGTGGCAGCAGCTAAGGAATCTCTACTCTCGTAGACTACCTTTTAAAAATTATCTTCCACCATCCATCATCTTCCCAATTGTACATCCAATATTCCAAAGAGGAAAAGTTCTAGTTCAAATTGGATATTAATCTTTAAAGTCAATAATGCCTCTCCATATCATACATTTCCATTCTGCATTAAATGATCATATCGCCTTGCCATTGGGTAAACATCAGTTACAAAAACATACATTGAATGTAATACAAACATCGTTCTAGGCAAAACATTATTTTTCATCACCGAAATTCTCCCCAAAAATGATAGATTTAATTTCACCCATTCTAACATATCTGTAACGGCTCACCATGCAGTCATGCTGACCACATGACCTAGGAGGTGCCTATGGACAACACCGGCTCTTCGGTTTAGAAATGGAGATGAGCACCACCCTCCAGAGTCGGACACGATGAGACTTAATGTCAGGGGAAAGCTTTACCTTCACTTTCACATATCCTTCTCAGTTTCACTCCTTCACCAAATTATTTTAAAACAAAATACAACCCACATTCATCTTAATGACAGTCAGTGGTAATCTTTCTTTATGTTACTGCAAAAATAATAATTTTATAACATTTACGTTTGTAAAAGTTCTCTTTAAGTGCATAACATAATACAGATCTCCATCCCGTTGACCACATATTTCCTGTTAATTCCTCTAAATAGTATGGCAAAATTACTTCAACCCTCTTGTAACCTGCCATATAGCCTTATTCTTCATTTTGCATTTAGCTCATGGCTTTCCCTGCTGCCTTACTAATTTGAACAGATCCCCATGCCCTTGCTTAAGCAATACTTAAGTTATTAAAATAAGTGCTTGAAACAGAAACATCGTTCTCAGCAAAACAATTATATATCATTAAAGAAATTCTCACCAACCATGACAAATTTAATCTCCGCCATTCTGTTCTGGGATTCTCAGTTCCACTCCTTATCAGTTTGAGACAGAATACAATTCACTCTCATTTTAGCAACATCGCAGTATTTGACATTTTTCAAAACTATTCCATCCACCAACTCAACTTGATCGTCTGAACTCGAATTCTTCAATAACTTAAAGCCTGCTGACATGCCAACATCTTTTGACAAAGCTACATTGTCTACATCATTTTCTTCTGTTACTTTTTCAGTTTTATTTTTCAGAACTTCCATCTTATCATTAGAAGTAGTCTATTTTTATATCCTAACCAATTCACGTCATGATTCTTTCCCCAATTTTCTTTCAACTCTTCTTTCTAATTTTAACATATCATTTCTCAAATAATTTCTTGAACAACAAGAGTAAATCTTCTGGAGAAGGATTTTTCTCCATCTTCAATAAATCCAAAATAAATCCCAGCATTCATAGAGTTAAAAGCAGAAAGTAAGCCTTCCATGCTTTTGCCTTCTCTATTAACAATTTAATCCCAATGCCATCTCTAAAGGCACCATCTGGTTGTTCTAAATCCTATCTTCTTAACAATAAATAATCCCCATTCCTTTGGAGGTCTGGCTTCTTGATTTAGCAAAATTCAATATTCTCAAGACACATTGGTCAAAACAGAGGAAGAAATTGTGGGTCTTTTCAAACGAGTATCCCTTATTTCTGCTTATAACTTTAATAAGTGACATTCTTGTTATACTTTTTGAAATTGAATTAAAATCTTGCAAATAGCCCTCTTTTTCTTTGCTCCAGTTCACAGAAAGAAGGCAGCTCGCCAAGGCATCAACCTCACTATCTTTTTTTAACTTGCAAAGTAGATGGTTAAGGGTGATTTAGAAAGTGGGGATATCCTGTGTCCATCAAAGCTCACTTAGCCAGCTGAACTTGATGTTATTCCCAACGAGTTGTTGTAGACTTTTTGGGTTGTATGGCCATGTTCTAGAAGCATTCTCTCTTGACGTTTTGCCTGTATCTATGTCAGGCATCCTTAGAGGTTGTGAGGTCTGTTGGAAACTAGGCAAGGGAGGTTTATATATCTGTGGAAAGTCCAGGGTGAGAGAAAGAACTCTTGTCTGTTGGAGCTAGGCGTGAATGTTTCAATTGGCCACCTTGATTAGCATTTGATGGCCTGGCAGTTTTAAGGTGTGGCTTGTTACTGCCTGGGAGAATCCTTTGTTGAGAGGGGATTAGGTGATCATGATTGTTTCTTGTCTGGGGTTCACCTGTGTTTGAGTTTTGTTCTTTATTTACTGTCCTGGTTTTAGAGGTTTTTTAATACTGGTAGCCAGATTTTTTTTTTTCATTTTCATGGTTTCTTCCTTTCTGTAGAGATTGTCCACATGCTTGTGGATTTCAATGGCTTCTCTGTGTAGCCTAACATGGTGGTTGTTAGAGTGGTCCAGCATTTCTCTGTTCTCAAATAATATGCTATCTCCAAGTTGGTTCATCAGGTGCTCTGCTATGGCTGACTTCTCTGGCTGAAGTAGTCTGCAGTGCCGTTCATGTTCCTTGATTCTTATTTGGGCAATGCTGCATTTGGTGGTCCCTATGTAGACTTGTCCACAGCTGCATGGCATATGGTAGATTCCTGCAGAGGTGAGAGGATCCCTCTTGTCCTTTGCTGAACGTAGCATTTGTTGGATTTTCTTGGTGGGTCTGTAGATAGTTTGTATGTTGTGTTTCCTCATCAGCTTCCCTATGCGGTCAGTGGTTCCTTTGATGTATGGGACCACCAAACACAGTGCCAGTTCAGGAACAGCCTTATCTGGAAAATGCCTGGGTTCATCTTCATAATCCTTCAGGGGCTGAGGAACAGAGCTCTGGCTGGTAGCCTTCTGGTTCCTGTTGCACAACTGATGAGAAAGTGAAGATATGATGATGGCATAAGTACACTGAAGGATGCTTATGCTGTGCCAGTGGGGTTCTGAGGTTTCAGCCAATGTGTGCTAGCCGCAGCCATCCTATTTCTCCACATCTGCCTCTACAGCCTCTGCACCCCTGGCTTTTCCCCCCTCCTATCGCCATTGTCCATACTTGCATAGTTATATATAATGCACCAGCAGGCCTTTGACTCCCATCTCTCACCATCACTTTGGTTTCTTTTGGCAGTGTGTGGCTCTCTGACACGAACGCTGGACAGTGGCATTGGCACCTTTCCGCCGCCTGACTATTGCAGTGGAATGCCGTGTAAGAGTATGCCGAAGCTGAGGCCTCGAGTTGACCCTTCACCAGCCGGTCCCTTTCCCATCAGGGGCCCCCCACCCATCACCAGGGTGCCCCGCAAAGCACGGACATTGGAGAGGGAGGTGCCCAATGCAGAGGACCTTCTGGGGCCTAGCAAGCACCAAAGCATGCCAGCATTTCATGGGATCTTAACCAGTGCCGAGCCACCCTTGGGGCATCGTGACCGCAGGGACTGCCCAGAAGGTTTGTACTTCTTTTGAAAGGAGCATGTGACAGGAAACATTTAGGCCCCATGTGGGGGTCTTGCTTGCCAAAGTGGGATTCTGTTGGAAGATTATCATGTACCCTTTCCACAGACATTTTGAGAAAATCACCGTATTATCCAAAGAGGGTTCAAGCCTATCTTTCCTCTAGTGTTGTGTTTAGTGAGTGTTGGAGTCTTTTGCTCCATCTTTTTACCTGAACTGGTAGAGTGGTTATCATCTGGGCAATCTATTTTTGGGCATTAGTGGTCTTTATAGCCCTCCTTTCCTCCAGTGAATTTTAGGCGCTTCATTCTCACAACTTTGTAGGCCAGGAAAGCTTAAAAGTGAGGGACTGGCCCCACTTTGCCCAGTCAGTATTTATATACATGACAAAATTTAATGCAGACACTGCCTTTATATGCTTTAGGAGGAAAGAGACAAACACCCGTTGAAACTTCTTATGTAGAGCATATTAAGTGTATAAAGAACAAGAAAGACTGGAAGCACCCCTGAGGTATATTGTGTCCCATTTGGAGAATGCTAACTTCCCATTGTAATACATTTCTTGGTATTCATCTCCAGGTTTATACAGATCTTTGGGCAAAGGAGAGTCTGTTTTAGCTAGAACTATTTTCAGAAGCAGGTGGAAATGATCTTAAATCCGACAACAGTCGCAGCTGGAGTAAAGACATTGAATCAGTTGGGTTTACTTAAGTGTTTCCTCACTATTCAGCACTTGATTCAGTGGGTCTATTTTGGTTAGGAGTCTCAAGAGGATTCAGGCTTGTCTTTCTTCCACTATGAGACCATTGAAACCGCATTGGATGAATGACACGGGAGACTGAGCTGTCTCTTGGTCTCTGCCTCATATCACTTCTTAGTGCGTCACCCTTCAGAGCAATTGAGAGGTTGGCTCCATCCCATTACTAATTGCTACACTGCTGTCCTCCTCTCACAGATCTCTGCAGTGAACCCAGCAAGCCACGACACACCCAAGTGAGCAAGAACTGGACTTTCCCCAATGCCAAAGCATCTGTTGGTGCAGATCCCTTCTTTTGCTCCCCTCACGGGTTGGAGGGCCTTCACAGTTCTGCAATGGTAAGGAGTCACCATGCAGAACTCTATATTGGGGCAGGGATGACTGGCTAAAAGCCCGCATTGGAAGCCATACAGGTGGTACATTAACCATATATCTGTGGCTGTATCTCCCGATGCTCTCCCTTCCCAGAATCCACTTTTAAAGTCACACAGACCCTATATTTATTTCTTGTTAGACATCAAAGGATAAATGGAGACACATCCATCTGTTTTCCTGTAACTGGATGCATTGTGTCTGTAGGAGGTGATGATCTGCACTGGGATTTCAGTTTTTGCACCATTAGAGAATGCTAACCTTTGCAGTATCCATAATAGTGAGCCACAGTCATGTAGATCTGGCTTACACTGCCATAATTCCCCAACAAGATTCTGTCTGAGATGTTTAGGCAAGACTAGCTGGGTTTCAGTGAGGCCCCAGGGCCTCTCCCTTAGTGGCCCCTGCTCCAGTTTTGAGTTTCAGCCCTGGACTGGTGGGAAGATTTACAGTAAGGATAAAACAAGGGATTGGAAATGTGTGTCTTTCCTTACAGTGGCTGCTTCCATCCTCCCTCAACATTGATGATGCTGTAAAGGGTGAATAAGACTTTGAATCCAACGACGTTTGTCCTCTGATTCGTGATTCAGAGATTTGCTCTTGCCCTTGTATTCAAGAGAAAATCTAAGCCTGTATTTTACTGTGCAGAGTGTTTTGTGGTTCTTAGTGTCTGATTAGCTTGGAGTCAAGCGCTACTGAGGATGGGTATCCCATTGCAAGCAAGGATCCAGCCTTGTGCTGGCAGGCAAAACAGAGCCATCTAGGAGGAAAGAACTGCCCAGCTAGAGAAGAGGAAGATTTGGTTAGGGACAACTAATAAGCAACAAGGCAAAGCATTTTGAGCCAAGCAGGCCCTGTTTCTTGCCTTCTGCCTGTGAATGAAAAGAGTGCAGCCCAGCTGGTGCCTCCATTTTATGTTCCTCTCCCTTCTACCCAAGGGCCTACTTTAGCCCAGACTTGTACAATCATACTATGGATTGGAGCAAATCAGATGATTATGTCATTTGCACCCTTCTGGATGATTGTGAATGTGACATTGCTGTTGTGTGTGTGGCATGTACTATTTTTGTAAAACATGCCCTTTCCTGCCTTTCCTTTACATGTGTTCAGTGTACCTAAATTGGGAGCGGACAGCTGCTTTGGGGGAGCTGCATTGTTCTTCTGTAGGAGCTCAAAGGAATGTGCCCCGACCCTCCATTTTTTCTTTAATCTCTTTTTTAAATGACCCACACATTCCTTAAGGGTTATTCAGGAGATAATTTTGTCATGTTCCCCCTGTTGCGGCTGTTTGAGACTTAGGGATGTCATTTTTTCAGACAAGAAGTTAAATGGAATTGCATACAAAGCTTGGGGCCACAGCAATGGCTTTGGAGAGGTTGCCTACCTCCTTGCCCTGAATGCTTCTGTCTCCCTCCTCTCTGTACCACAGGGCTCAGCTGGCAGCATCGTTGAGAGAAGGCGTGCCTCGTCAGATGGGCCTCAGGCCTCGCCAGCCTTTAGCACCAGCAGCAGCCGTACCCCGAGCGCCTCCGACGTGGGCGAAGAAGGCAGTATGGAGGCCCGTTCCCGAGATATGGGGACAGAAGGGCAGCCAGGGCTGGAGAACTCCGAGTCCCTCAGTGACTCTCTTTATGACAGCTTGTCCTCGTGCGGCAGCCAGGGCTGAGCATGGCCAGGGGGTGGGTGGGTGGGTGGCATGAGGGCACTGGCTTCCCAGGCTGACACTGCAACGTGCTCTGGTTTGATGCTTCAAACGCTCCAGTGTTGGCTGCAGGCTCCCGCTTGATCCTCCCCAACCAAATCTCTGCCCTCTGCCAGAACACAACATGTCTTCCGCACCCAGTGCTCCTGCCTGACTTCAAGCATGGGTTGTTTTTTTTGTTTGTTTTTTTTTTGTAAACCAGGGCTCTAGGAGACTGTCAAGTGGAGCAATAGAAGAAAGGGATGGAGTAGTGCATGTATGTGATAGAAACCGATCACATGCACTTGCTTCTACCAAATGACAGTAGACCTGCTTAAGTGGTCTCCCCTTTGATTTGAAGCCTTGAGTATGGGTTCTGGGCTCTGTCTTGCTTTGCCAACCAAATGGCCTGCTTGCCGGCATTATAAATTCATTGCGGCACAAGTCAGATCCAAGGCATCCTGTGGGTTCTGGCCTGTTGAGCTGAAGTGTTAAGAGTACCCCCTCAAAAGAGTAGGTTGCAGAGCGCTGGAAAAGTTAATTGCTTGGACCAAAGCCCAGCCAATATAGCTACTAGCCCTGATAGCTGGGAAATTGTGTCCCTCCCAAAGGTAGTCTTCCAACTTCCAATAAAGTATTCCAATTTAAGGCTATTGATCTCCAATATCCACCAGCTAAATAGTATTGCCTTGATCTCCGTTTCTCAGACTGGCAGGTGGCAGTCCTTGCATGGGCATACCCAGGCCCTTCGGATATCCTTCCAGGTTGGAGATCCCCCTGGGTTTTCACCTATCTATACAAGCAGCTCCTTTTTTACCTCATGGGCTGTGCAGTCTTGCCTAAGCATATTATCTAAGTTCCTTGTGACAGTAGGGAGGCATCTGAGACATTACAAAATTCAGGAGATCCTTCCACTTGGGCAAAGGAACAAGGAATGGGATGCCCTCACCCCCTCACATTGAAGAGCATGGCTCATGAATGTGGGAGGGATTGGACAGGTTGGCCAGCTAGTGCCCACACCTTCCTCTTGTTGCAGTTTCAGTGTTACCTTGGTTTCCTTTTCTCCCTTGGTAGTTTCAAGCAATCACTTTTCCTCTTCTTACCCTAATGTTCAAATCCAGTGGGACCAAGAGGCTGGGAAGCTCCTTGGGGCCTGGAGCTATTGTGCATCTGGGATGGATAGCTGGATCCCTCACTTCTATGTAACTTTTTTAAAAAGTTAAGTTATTGATGTTGCTCTTCTAATTTCCACACAGTTGAACCATGTCTCCTCTTTCTGTTTTTATGGGAACCGTGTGGGTTCTCCAAATGGTGCTATTTTGCTGTGTACAGACTCCTTCCCCACTCTCGAGTCTTTTCTTTGTTCTTTTTTTAAAATTGTTTTTTTTAAAAAAATTAAGACGTTTTTGCTTTTTTATTTATGTAAGTTATTGTGAAATGAGGTTGTTTATTGTCTTGATCTCCCCCAAAATAAAAGGATTTTGTAAAAATGTGTAGCTACCTTGAATTCACAAAGGTTAATTTGCTCAGCTTTTGCGAAGCTGCTACATCTGTTCCCCTCTCTCTCCTTGTGAAATGGTTAACATTCCAGGAAGAAGCAAAGCAGTGTATTTCTGTAATTCAGCAGCTAAGCTACAGTAGAAAGGCTGTGCGTATTTTAAAGCCAGGTGGGGGGGGGGGGGCAATTTTCAGACAGAAAACCTTGATTGTGCACATTTTTCTCCAAGCAGAGAGGCATCCACTTTCAATCATCTGTCCAACTTTTATTGCATTGGCCTGCTTACTGCCTTTTTCAGATCAGTCAGTACTTCTAACCCCTTTTCTGCACTTGCCATCTGTGTCAATGTGAGTGGCTGGGTAGCTGGTTGTGGGGACATATCAGTGCTCCATGGCAGGCCTGCACAACCTGTGGCCCCCAAGGTGTTTGAGACCCCAACTCCCAGAAGCCCTGGCCAGCTTGTTCAGTGGTCAGGAATTCTGGGAGCTAAGGTTCAAAACACCTGGAAGGCCTGCTTGATGGGGTGCTCCTTTCTTCTGTCTGAATGAACATAAATATTGGTACATGTGCCAAAGTGGCACAATTTTTGGTGACACACTTCCAGAGCACTGAGGCATTCCTCTGTTAAGAAAGGCTGGGAGAAGATCCCATGTCACTAAAACCAGGACGGCGTGGTATTTCCCTCTCTCAATTGAGAACATAGAGATAATGGGTCAAGAGTGTTCAGACTCGTAATCTTATCAACCATCTGCACTGAGGTGTTGAAAGCTGGCTCTCAGTAATACTAGGAGGGTTATATGGTGCCCTCCCTTGTTCTTTAGGCTGATAGAAGTGTTCAAAAAGAGGCTGGATGGCTATTTTTCAGAAGCGGTTCAGTGATATATTCCTGTATGGTGGGCGGTTGGACTAGATGCCCCTTGCAGTCACTTCCCATTCTGAATGTAACAACTTGTTTTTTGAGACTTGAGGTTGAGGCCACTGCTATCATTCTTCTGCAGATTGAAGTTAACGGCATAGACAAGACACAGAAATGACCAGTGTCTCCTATTTGTAATTCTAGTCAGAAATGGATCCAGCTCTCTTGCCAAATTTCAAAACACCAGCCTAAATCTGTAAGAGATCAGCAAGGGAACGACAATCAGTTTCAGTGATATTACAGTGGTTGGTATAGCAAGTTAGAACTGTTCTTGCTTTCTGTACTGAGAAGTTGTTTTCCTGACTTTCTGGCACCCCCTAGTGACAAGACATGGAAATAGCAGCACTCAGCATTGCACACACCTTGCATCACCATCTAGTAAACACAAGGTAAATGGCTTAAACCTTTACATAAGGTGTGTGCCCTTTAGCTCTTTAGAGGTTTTCTGCACCTCAGGCCTTATCAGCCTCTGCCAGCATGAATAATGAAGAATGATTATTTGCGGCACCTGCTATAGAAGAAGCACTAACAGCACTGGGGCTGGAGAAGAGCTGGGCCTTGCGGCACCTGATCACCCATCTTGCCATGCAGTGGGAAGGCTGGCCATCTCTGCAGAATTTCTGCTCTGCCAGGGCTTGGGGCTTCTTTTGTCTTTCTTATGCCAACTCGTTTTGGAAGAGGGAGGCACAAAATAGCCAGGTTTTTCCGTGAAAATCCCTTCAGCAACCCAATCATATACAGGATTGTGTGAGAGCTAAACACCACATTCAATGAGAAAACTTCTGGGAAGACTGACCTATATTTCAAATGGTAGCTTTTAAGGCAACACAAGAGCACGTGGCTGCAAGCTATCATACAGAAGGTAATGCTAACTGGTGTGTTGCATCATAGGGCAGGACTAGAAGGGGTGCCAGTGGCGCAAGTTGCAGAGAAGTCATTTTAGCTGGATGAGATATGAGCTGTTCTTGAGGAAAGGCCTTTTACAGATGATGGTGAGCTCTCCATTGCTGTAGCTAATTCAGAGGGCCAGCTCTCAAATTTGGTAGTTACACCCTGCATTGCAGATACTGCATTAACAGCAGTGCTGTGACCTTCAAGGTCACTCCTTGCTCTGAATTTAGATCAATCCAAATCATAATTCAATGAGCACAAACTCCCTATGAATTTTAAAAGATCACTTGCATTAAGTCATGACAGCAGGCAGGCCTACTCCTCAGACTACTAACTCTGCAAACCTGAAGAGATGGACATAGAAAGCCAAGGGTACAGCCTCAGTGAGCCTCTTGCTGTGCATTGATGGACAGATGGGAGCAACATAGGGAGATAATCAGTGAAGTACATATTAGATAAGCCCCTAAGGCTTTACAAGTTCACCACTCCACTTCTGTTACCAGTCAATCAGATGCTTATGGGAAGACCATTAGAAAGAAGGAAACAACACCTTCGCACTACTCAGAAATTGATATATAAGGCATAGTGCCTCTGCTACCTGAAAGAAAATCTAACTATTGTGACTAATAATTAGCCTCTCCATTTCTGATATTGGCTAATATCTTTTGTTGCCAGCCATCACTAAAACATAAATTGTACTGTCAAGAGAATGTCAGGATGCCTTGGTCAAGGTATGCAGCCGGAGCAAATTTTCTAAACGCAGCTGTTCTAGAAATGTCAATGTAGTCCCCCACCTCCCAACTCCTTTCCCCAAAGTAGTCTGAGGCTGAAAAGCTATCATGTCCATTTTCCTAGATAAGGATGGTATTGAAAAAAAGGGCTTTCCCTTTTGCTTTTGTATTGACCAGTTCCCATTCATAGCTTGCTAAGAGAAGGAACCAATGAAACTGTGCCTTGGTCACCTGTGGCTCTTTGGACACTGGGCAAGGTACTACTCAGAACGAGAAAGTAATAGGAGACAAACATCCTGGTAGGTCAGCTTCAACTACACAGACATTGCTGGCTTCTAACAGGAAGCTCCTTCAAGCCTCTAAACTGTTCAGCTAGCTCTGCCTCTGAAACAACTCAGAACAAGGGGTCTGATGAACAAATGTTCATGAACAAGTGCTCTCCTACTCCTCACTGGCTAGTCTAAAAACATCTGGAAGGCCACTAGAGGGACTTAAAATCAGCCCCAAAGCATGAAAACATACAGCAATCTTCTGGAAAAGAAGTTGGAAAATTCCTGATGACAAGTGACCTGGAAACCCTGAGTCACAGACCATTAGAAAGCAAGTTGAGGCAAAAGTCTCAGTGAAAGAAAAATGAAGATAGGAGATAAAGTCTGAGGATTTTTATTTTAATATTTTATATTCCCGTACAAAGCAAGACAATGTAAATTTCATATTTGAATCAAAACACCTTTTTTAAAACCCCTGTCTCTTCACAGTAAGGAGTCTAAAGAATGCAGCCCGAGCTGGACATCCAATGAGCGACAGAGTTTAATCTTTATGTATTAAAACCTGTTAGACAAGGTCTCTATAAAGTAGATCTCTCAAAGCTTAGTTCTTGGCACTGGTTCAAAAAGGGGGGTGGGGAAAATCAGGAGAAGAGGGGAAATTCCTTTATTCTCAAGCAAGCGGAGTTGGAGTCTGGCTTTGGGTGCCAAGAAGGGAAAGATCAACACTATCTAGTTTGCTGCAGGAAGAGCTTTTAAGGTTCCATAACAAGCTTATCAATGGAGCTGTATTTAGGCTGAACTGCAGAGATTCCATCCTGCTTCCCATAAGCAGGAACAGTTCTTCCCCACGACCATGTCAGAGGCTTCTCCAGCACAGTCGATCAGAGATTTGAATGGAAGACTTGGCAGCCACATCTTACCCAAGCCACCTTTCCCACAACCAGTGTTTATAGTCCTGGAAAGACTTGTTGATCAAAGCTGGTCTCAGGCCCCTGAATTCCAAAATGCCAAGTCCCTAATCAGCAAAGCCACACGCCAACAGAAGTAGCACTAAGCCACACTGACCAATGACAGATTCAAGAGACTGGTTGTGGCAGAAGTGGACTTCCAAGATGTCAACTAGAAAAGAGTATCTCCCTTGCATGGCTTGTTTTTACAACCCAGCAACAATACTAGGGGCTGGGGAAACGTTGGACCAGTAAGCTCCCATCCTGGCAATCTCCAAGCCATGAGGTGCCTCGTGCAGAGGTCTTGGCATCTTCAGCTGTTTGCTTTCCTGGGAAGCCACTTCCATCAACATGGGTCTCCTTAAAGAGTCCCTGCAAAGGATTTGTTTGTTTTGTTTGGGGAGTAAGCACACCACAGCAGTTTTTTTTTTTTTTTTACCAAGAGTGGAAACTCTTCCGCTCCTGCCCTCACTCTAATGGTGTTTGAGGTGAGGGCAGTTGAGGGATGAGAAATATCATTTTGAGCTGCCTACCCAGTGACACCTGTGGGGTCACTGCCAACAGGACAGAGCTGAATGACAATACAGGAGAAAATGGGAGCAGGACCAGGTGTGTATACACAAAAAGTGGAGCAAAGCCAGACTCCAGCATTAGGATCAGCCAGTTAGCTTTTTCAATGAGGCTCAAAAACCAAGAAGGGAAAAACCCAATTTCCACAAAGTATGAAAGTGTCACAGATGCTTCTCATTCACACAGAATAGGGTAGGGGGGCACCTTTAATGCAAGTCAAGTTGGATGGAAGCAATAAAGAGGCAAATGGGAAGGGCCAGAAAAAGGAGGTTCCGCACAGGCATCCGGTGACACTTCACTTTTCTTTCTTCTTCTTGTTCTGCAAAAGGACACAAAGCATATTCATCAATTCTCTAGTTTCTGACACAAAACAGATCTCCTAGTTGTCAAGATAAAGGATCCTGCGCATGCCTTTGATTCTGTTACAAGTATCTTTAGGACAAAAACCAGTTTTTAAATTCCAACCGCTTTTCCCCCAGGATGACCCATTGCTGGCCTCATGACTTGGAGTGAAGAGATAGTTGCTGGTAATGGATGCCATTACAAGTCTTTGAGATAAATAGGATCATGTACCAGCCATGTTTTGCAAAACTGCTTATCCATCTAATCTCTTGTCCTAAAACCTGCAAACTCACCTTCTCCGGTAACATCTGCAAGTGTACCATTGTAGGACTGCTGAAGTCGTAATTAAGTGAACTACCGTAAGTATTCTAAGTCAGTTTTGCAAAGACAGTTACAGTCAAAATACAATTGGCCATATGCTTTTATTTACCTTCCTGTTATCCCTGTGTGTCCCAAATTCTCTTGTGTGTCCTAAGCATTTAATGTTGAGGGAACCAGGTGAGCAATTTTTCAATGAGAGTGACTACATAAATTATGGAGAGTTGCACTATCATTTTGTTTTCACAACAGTCACTGCTTGAACTTGTCCCTTTCCTTATCCTATATAAACCAAAATAAATCACAGAGCAAGTATGGGTTATTTTATTATTATTATTATTATTATTGTTGTTGTTGTAGCTGGAGCTGGGGGACAGCCACCTGGTTTTGGATGTAATAATGAACCAGCCATAAATATTGGCTTGTCCATCCATTCTAGTTACAAGTGGAAAAGGCCAGCGCATACCAGTGTGTTCCTTATTATTGATAAGCCAAGCTTCCTTGGTTTGTATGTTTAATAGTCCCAAATTTTCTCCAAACTTCATGTTTGCCTCTTCTCTTTTAATCTATCATGACTATCCACTTTTCAACTAGTTAGGAAGTCATACATTTTCTTCTCATACACATTTTCTTCTCATACTTTAGCCAAGTGCCATATTCTTACAATATGTATGCTCCTTATAGCTCCTACGGTGGCAAATCTTCCCTTTCCCTTCTATTCCCCTCTCCTTCTACCCATCTCTCATGCTTTTATATTGTGAACCTGTGGCCAAGGTTTTATTTTTCTATTTCTTGGCCACATGAAAATCAAATTTGCTACATTATGGGTATGTGATGAGGAGGTCCTGCCAAATTCTGTGCAGGATGCCTGTCTAAAAGTGTCAGTTAGGGGGCCACTCTCCTGCCTTGATCCCAGTCACACTGCATTCATTTTCCTCACTTGGCAGGTGAAGAACAACCTCCTCCTCAGAAGAGGAGGCCCAGCTGAGGCTATGGACATAGCCTTCTGTTTGTCCCACAGCAGCAACGTTCATTCTGACCATCTGACCCAGTGGTTCTCAATCTGTGTGTCCTTGGGTGTTTTGGCCTGCAACTCCCAGAAATACCAGTCACTTTACCAGCTGTTAGTATTTCTGGAAGTTGAAGACCAAAACATCTGGGGACCCACAGGTTGAGAGCTACTGATCTAACCACTCCAAAATGTCGACTAACCTCGTTCATGCCCAAGATGACCATGAGTTCTCGGAAGATGTTGACAAAATCCAGAAAGAGATCCACACAGTGCCTGCCAGAGAGAGAAAGAAGGGATTTTAAACTGCCGCATAAAGCTATAAATGTTAGACCAGAAGGAATCTTGCCAAATTAGGCCTTCCATCTAAAATAAGATCTAGAGAGGCTTCTAATGCAAGAGACACAATCTACTTCACTCCAGACTTTCTGCTCCATTTGATAGCTTGTTGCTTTGATGATTTTCGGTACCCTTAGCTAGGTAATATTGTAACCTTCATCGTACAATGCAAGCTTATTCTGCTTTTATTCAGTGCTCTGGACAACAAAGATACTGCCTTTCGCATGTTGAGCCCAATGCTGTGGAGACTAGTTTGCTATTCCCACCCCCTAGCTCTTTTCCCATTCCATCTTAGCTTCTCTGTCCACAGTGCATCTTGCCTTCTATCCTACAGAAATCTAGGACTGATATCCAGGCACCAGCTTCCATACACTCACCAGATGTAGTCCTTGTCTCCATTCTCAGCTTTCTCAATTATGAGCTGAGTGTCGAACAGCACAAAGCCACACATCACCATAAGTCCAATGTAGAGATTAACCTGAAAGGAAGAAATCAATTTGTCAAGGGCATTTAAATCAATTTCCTCAAAATGCCTGTACTACCAGTGAAGGATATGTTTTAATCTGAGAGCTCATAAAGCTTTATCCCAGGTTTTGAGGTATCCATGGCATAATATGGCATTAAGCAAAGAAATCAGCACCCTAAGCATTTTAGCATCCATTCTGAATGTGAAAAGGTCCAGGGCTCTAGTCTTTATGAATGGAAAAATAACACCTCAAGATGTGCAGACAAAACTTGTTGATCTATCAGATGTTGAGGAAAATATAAGCCTGTAGCATTTATAGTTCCTTGTTCATCTCCAAAACTATCTAGGGCAGAATTATACAAAGGAAGAAGATCTGAAATTTTTCATAGTATGTACAAGTAATATGATGTGTATTAAATTAACATAGGGAACTGATTAAAAATGAAGTAACAGACTTTACTATTTAAAAATTGTGGGGTAAATAAAAAGCTAGATACAGACACTTGACAATTGCCATCATAAACTGTATTAGGATAAGCTTGCCAACTCTGGGATAAAAATTGAATTTTGCTACAATGAGATTTTGCTGCTATCAACCGTATCAATTTCCTGTAAGTTATAAGAAGGAAGCAATTATGAAAGTAATGGATTTTTCAAAACAGTGGTTTCTCAACCTGTGGGTCCCACGGTATTTTGGCCTACAACTCCCAGAAATCCAAGCCAGTTTACCAGCTGTTAGGATTTCTGGGAGTTGAAGTACAAAACATCTGGGGACCCACAGGTTGAGAACCACTGTTTCAAGACATCACTGTACTAAAAAAAGAATGATGAAGACAGGAATGAAGTTGTGGAAGTTGACAAAGAGAATCAGAGTAGCTAAGGCACTAGTAAAAGATAAATGCCTGTAATAAGCCAAATGATAGTGCAGGCATTAGATTAGAGGGTAAATAGGAACAATAAAAGGTAGTATGCTCTCGCCAGAGATGCTTGTCTATGTATCTATCATTGTATGATACCAAAGTGTATGGAGAATCTTCTCTGACCAATAGTCTCTCTCTCTCTCTCTCTGTGGGAAGGCCTAGATAAGGAATAAGAGAGTACCCTATGGAACAAAGACCAATTTTGACTAAGAACACTGAATAGGCAAAACAGAAGTTGCAGGCAGCTGTTCAAACCTCAAAGAAATGGAGATGGCTACTTAGATCAGATCAAACCACTGGCTGAGTGTGTGGATAAGCACCAGGGCCAGCTGTGTTTGGACCAGGTAAAAATTGAAGAGAAGCTTCCATGGCCACAGAAAGTGAAATCTTTGAAGGGAGTAATTTGTGGGAGAAAAAATTAAACCGCTCCTTCAGGGAACGGGTCAGAAGATGCTATTAATCCAGAAGAATTTGCTGTGAGTCCCACCCGTGGAAGAAAAGCGGGATAGAAATAAATAACAACGGGTTGTGCCCATATTTCCCATAAGTAGTCTTGGCCTCTTTGCTTCTTGGAATAGAGGAAGCATGTCCAAGTGTGGAAACTGGGCCAGAGAGAAGAAAGTAGCTATAAAGATTGATTGATCAGTCAGGACTGAAAGTGAAGACACTAATAAAATAGATACTATTGGTGCTGATACTGACTTCTTCTTATGCAGTTTTTTAAATGACACCAAAACAGTATCCAAAGAAACATTCAAGCCAGCCTGCCTCATGAGAAACTCGGATCCTTTCTACACTGCCACATTATCTGCTTTGAACTGATAGAAGGCAAGAGCCACTCACTGTGAAGAGCCAGGTGGAGCCTGCAAAAATGTTGATCAGGGAGAAGAAAAGCATCAGGAAAAGGCCAGAAAACAGGACACCTGCAAAAAGAGAATGAGAACCACAATGAACAAAACACTGCATTTGGACATGTTTTCTCCAAGGTGGGAGAACAGGGAGAGTGTGGACTGATCCTCACTTCCAAGCTTTACTGATCCTTACCTCCAAGGTACAAATAGGCACGACGCTTGGCATACAGGGCACTCAGAGAGAAGCAGCTGAAGATTACAGCTGTGCCCAGGAAAGCAGTTGGGATAATGCTGCAATGAGGGGGAATAGAGAAGGCAACGTGAGTTATGTTCCCACAGGTGTTAATTCAGACACAGAGATGACCTTTACAGACCTTTAAGGAGTTTACATGGGGCTTGCAACATCCCCTGTGTACTCCATGACATGAATTAACTTCTCTCTGGTCTTGAGATGGCGTTACATTGAAGCTAGGTTGGAAATAGGCAGCCTTTTGGCCAGTCGTGAAATGTTGAACTGGTTTTGTAAAATCCAGGTTCAGATCCCACTGAGCCATGTAACTCACTAGGTGACATTGGGCCAGCTGCTTACTCAGGCCAACCTCCTTCACAGGGTTGTTGAAAGATAAAGTAGATCAGAGGTGAGCCATGCGGCCTGCCTTGAGCTCAACGAAAGAATGTGGGTTTGAAATGTAACTAACAAAACAAATGAGCCAGAGATAGAGAAGAAATTTAAACCTTTGGCTTTTAAATGAACATGATTGGCTAACTTTCAGATTCAATTATAAACGTTCAGTTTTCTGTGGGGGAAAATGGTGGTCCAGTCCCTGACAATCTGCTGAAGAAGCACTTTTGAGAACCAGAATTGCATGAAACAAGGTAGTTACGTCTAGGCTTTTTGTTCTTACCTAGGGTTGATAGCAATGCACATCTCCAGCAGAGGTCCTAGATTGACTCCTGGAAGAACAAAGGAAAACTTTGGGTGATTTTTTTTGTGGCTCTCAAATTGACATCCACAATCAAAATCAAGACAGAAAGGCTGAGAAAGTCCTAATATTTAGAACACACCTAAGGGTCTTATGAAACCTTTGTTAAGAAATTACCATTTAATAGGAATCGAGATGTCACTGTTGTAGTCTTCTGAATAACTCTGGGTTTCCTCTTTCATAAAGTGTTGATGAAAAGTCCTTTCCCTTTTTGAGCAACCTAAGGCCATTGAGCCTATGCAGGTGCATTCATTACACAGCCATCAGCCTCAGACCCCACAGCAGTCGCTCTGAAGGTATCCAGAAACAAACTATTTGCCCCTCACTTGTGGAAACCCCCAATTTAAACATTAACACAAATTAACCCCTTGTAATCATCCACTGAGGAGCACATACCAGTGAGGAAAGCAAAGCCTGCTAGCATGCCCAGTCGTTTCTCTTCTGTTTCCCGGCTGTGTGGTGTGGCCATCAGCCAGATCATAAGACCCAATGCTCCCAGGCCAGTCAGCAGGCCAAACTGCAAGATAAAAGTTGAGGATGTCGGGGTGGGGGAGATGGAAGTTAATGTGGGCACAATTTGAGCAAGACATTCTAGAAACACAACCTGAGTCTTAGGATTTGAACAATTTAAAATTTTCAGGTGACTTTAAGGCAGATTTACATTTATTTAGGAAAATGTGGAGATAGTGCTCAATTGCTGTTAGACTTAGAACTCCCACCTCCTTCCTTCTATCAACAACCTGTGATAGGGGAACCTTCACCTGCCACAAGTCAGAATAAACTTGAATTCTAGTTTTGTGTCATATGCAGTGGCACCTGCTTTGCAAACACATTTGTAGGACTGCTCACATGGGCAGTGGGTCCAAATACCAATTCCCACTCCAAAAGCAATTGATGACACACATCACTATTGCCAAAAGAATTCAAAAGTAGATCTTAAAGGAACCTACTTCTAGTTTTGGGATAGAGGTGCATTATTGGGGGGGGGGGGGCTGATCCATGTTTCAATGGCCAATCGTGTTTGTAGGAGCAATCCCAGAGTGCTCTTACCTGCACCAGCTGAGTCACCACATTGATGTAGGCTCCAGCTGCTGCTAGGAACATGCATAGCGCAAAGCTAGCATACACTTTCTTCAGATGCTGCTGGGTTGATGCAGAGCTGCAGGAGACAAGGGGAAAAACAGTCAGCGCTGCTACCAACTCCAGTGTGCTGAAACACAGCCACTCCTCAGTTGGCTGTTCACCAGTTCCCACACTCAGCAAAGGACTCAGAATAAACTAGACTTGATTTGTCAGGGATCAACTTAGTGAAAAGTAAACACTTTTAAGCCACTTTGCCAGGACTTCCCTGGCTTAAAATCCTTTCAGGTCAAGAAATTATTTGCTGGGGAAATAGTATCAGAAGGTCCCAAGAACCAAGTGGAGAGCCAAAGAGACACCCAGGATCTAGCAAAGCAGGAAAAAAAATCCAAGGGCCTTATCACTGTGATGCTCTTGGGACACAAAAATTTGCCATGCTTCTGTACATTACATGTTCCTAACAATGGCATGAAGCCATCCCAAACAGAAGTGGGGATCCAGGAGCCTGTTGACTTTGCAAACTCCATTCCCTTTTAGAATACAGACAAGCCCTGACAGATTTGAAGTGACACAATGCAAACTTTCCAGACTTCTCACTGAAACATTGTCTAGCCCTCTAAGTGAACTTTTAAAAGGAGGAAGCATGGAACATGATCATGGTATATGGCTGACCAGGGTGATGATAAGTACCAAGTTTACCATAGCGAGAGTTTCAGCTTTCAGATTAAGAACACAGAGCTCCATTTGAAACTTTTTTCCATTCTAAAAAGTCTTAATCCTTCAAGTCCAGAAACATCAAGGCAGTATCTGCAGAAGTCTCAGGAACTGGGAGGCATGGGATAGAAAGGAAAACCAAGGATAGTCTCACAGGCCAAGAAAATCCTTAAGACGACTGTCCTTCCCACAACTGACAAAATGCAAAATAGTAAATGCTCTGTAAGAAATAAATATATATTGCTTCATTTATATAGGCGACTGAAGAATTGCCTTTGTATTTGGACATAATCAATTACCTTGAATTTTAGGTTTTAGTCAAATCCTGAACAGAAGGCCCTCTCCCCAACTTGGAAGCTGAAATGCCTTACTTGCCTCTTGAAACACCATCCTCCAGTTCTTGCATTAAAGGACTGATCTCAAGGCCATACAAGATCCCAACGACACCAAAAAGCAACAAATCTTCAAATGACAAATGGCACACAGAGATATTAAGAAAGCCAAGGGACTACTCACATGTGGGAGAATTTGAAGAGGGCATCAAAATTTATGTTCCGGTTGAAAACATCCATTCTGCTAGGCAGTAGGTTGACACAACTCTTCAGATGTCAAAACACACAATCTGCAAGAAAGAAATATAAAAGTACCTCAATGGGAGATATTTACAGAGCTCTTCTCCAGAATGTTCCATGCATTACCTAACAACTATAGACATCTATCTCTCTCAGAATGCATACCAAGTCCCCTCCTGCCTGCTTGCCTAAACCAACCCAGCAAAGGACCCAATGCTACATGACTTCAGAAATGCTGGATTTTGCCCTCAAAGTTCTTATTGTCCTCCCTCTCAGCAGAAGAATTTTCAAGTCATTTGCAAATAATACTGGAATTTTTCTGAGTTAACAAAGATGATGAAAACACAAATCAACAGCCTTTCTGTTCATGGAGAGCAGTCGGGAAGAAGGGTGCAAAAATATTAAACACCAGAGGGGAAGTCAGAGACTGCTCAATGGCAAGGAAGAATCAGATAATGAAACATAGAAGATTCAAGCCTTCCTCCATACGCAAAGTCCAGTTGCTGCTTACAAGTAATGGCATAAACGCACATGCCAAATTGAATTATCTCATTCTATCCAACCTTCCTTCTCTGGTTAGAGAGAAATTTACCTCATGATATTTCAGATATTCAGAGAGATGAGAAGAGGCAAAATAAAAATATTCAGTAACAGAAATACTAGAGTAACCAGAATCTTTGTAAAATGATTTAAGAGATACCAGTGCTGAGAGGAAAAGGTCTGTGTTTTCTATTCTGGTCTCTCCAGCCAGATCCAAAAGCTGCTGTTTTGTCCTGGTGCGAAGATGCAAGAGTGGCTGCAGTAGTTTCACAGGCATCCCAGTCTGCTTTGCACATATGGTGCAATTGTTGCAAGCTGTTACAAGGCTAACAACTGGCTCCTGGAGGAAATGGAGTCCCAAGAGATGGTTGCTTTGCAATTCTGATGCTGAGAAGTACTCATTAACACCTTTAATGACCTCCTTAGGCAAGGACGGGGTGGAGGTACAGCACCTCACACAGCCCAAGTGCAATCTGTAGCTCCCCAGTTATCGAGGATGGATTCCTTCCTTCTATATTGTGTTGCTTGACCTTAGCTGCTTTCAAATTGCCTGTCAACTTAGGATAAACTCATGAAATTCAAAGGGGTTTCTTAAGCAAGAAATACAAGTTTCCTTCATCTGAAATATAGCCAATATTCATTGGCCTCCCATCCAAAGTACTAACCTTGCTTAACTTCCAAGAGTAGACAGGATGTAGTGCTCACAGGAATTTTACCCACCATGTGCTACAATGTGAAATGCCCAATACATACTGTGCTTTCTCTCAATAAAAGCACCATAAGAAGTTATTCTTGTTATACTGGCTCTAGCGTTATAACTAGTGATTGCTTCAAATTCCCTTAGAAGAAACCAGTTTAGCAACTGGCTCCTTATTTGTGAATATGCAGGTCAGCAGGCTTGGGGACGAGCCTGAAAGGCAGGCCTGCATTGGTTGGCAAAGAAAGGTGAGCTTGCAAGCATCATATCCACCTTCACAATGGAGAAACACAATGACACGTCCTCTTTTGGCAAAGACTGAAGCTGCCAGGCTGGCACTTGTCCCATCCAGGAAGTTGCTTTTGGATGTTTATTGTTGTATTTTGATTTCTACTGATTCAGAAAAAGATCTAAATTGATATATCATAAAGGAGAAGAATGTTTGCCAGTTTTGATATGAATCGGACTAATGTTAAAGTGCGTTAAAGTGCGTACATGCATACACATTCATGTTGCACTGTGACTTAAGTCTAGACTTCAAATCCCAGGCCCAGGAGCAAAAGGCTCAGTTCAGATCCCAGAAAGAAGAGAAAACTACAGCAAAGCTTCAGAGTTCTTGCCATTTCAAGTATGTAGAAACTGAGCAAGGATCATATGCATCCTGGCCTGGAATAGAAAAGAAAGCCTGACAGAAGGCTTTTCTCCACTCTTAAAGGCTGCTCTGCCAACAGATATCTATATATCTATATGTAAAGTGAGAAAGACACATCCCAAAATTATTATCCAAAAAAAGAAGGCTAGAGTTGTGAAAAACTAACACCCTTAACAAAAGCTTGACCTGAAAAAACTAGCCAGAATGCGGAAGCACATGTAAATTCAAGTGGCCGCTGCTCACAGTAGCCAATGCTAATGGGAATGCATACTAGGGCATCAAAATAGACCATGCTGGACTAGAAGAAATGTGGAGAATGGCACAGGCTTTGCTTGTATATATCCTACATGCATGCCAAGAACCGTTCAAGACAAAAGCTGGATTGGCTCAAGGAGGCCCAGAGATACTTTATATGATGAAACATTTAGACTGCAATTTCCATAGGGACATATCTCTAACTTGAAAGCCTTCCATCTTTTTGTTAAAGGCTCAAAACATGCCAGACTAAGAGGTGGCAATAATTAGATAATATAAAGATTTTAGAACAACAGCTTGAGGCTTGAGAGGTACCTGTAAGATATCCAGTCACTCCCACTCATCCAGTCAGCATAGCGTGTTAGTTCACAGGTTAAACTAATCCTTGAAGTCACAACAGGAAGAGTTCACAAACCCCATGACAACTCTATGGGCCAGCTACAAATATTTGCAGAGCCACACATTCATCTAGATCAGTCCAATTTAATCCACAACAGAGGATGTTTTCTAAAGACTCAAGCAGATGCCTTTCCCTGCTATCAGAAAAGCCTCTCTCTGGGCCCTTCCACACAGCCATATAACCCAAGGCAGAAATTCCCACAGTATCTTCTTTGAACTGGGTTATCTGAGATCACACTGCCATATACTCCAGTACAAAGCAGAAAATGTGGGATTTTATTCAGCTATGTGGAAGGGGTCTAAGCCTTTCATTTAAAGGGTTACCAGAAACTGGGTCTGAAACTTTCCCCACAGAGAATATGACTCAGATGCTATTCAGTTCAACAAATCAGATTAGAAATAAACTGGAATTCTATTTTTGAATGAGAATAAATCTGAGCAAAAGCAATACACAAATACAGTATACTATTTGATCTACCAGTCCCTAAACATGAAATAAAATAGATGAAGTAAAGCATTAACTATTTTTACAAAGATTATGATGCACAAATAAAAGCACACCTTCAGATAGAGTGGATTTGGTTCTGGTGGCAGAAGCTATAAATACCTGTTCATTTAGCATATGGGAGATCTTCCTGTCAATTAGTATTATCTAACAAGAGAAGAACCGGAGGTACATTTGGATACATTTGAACATCTTTCAATAATTTGTAGTTCAGCAAGATTTCTGACTCCCAACTGCCTAGCAAGAGCAACAACACAATTATCGCACCCAGGCTACTGAATAGGCACTGCCTGCAGTGGATTTTGGTATGGAAGGAGTGGTTTCTAGTATCACTCCATTTTGTTGTTCGAACTCTGTAGTTATGAATATATCTTACATGCCAGACTCGAGTAGATTTTGGGAATTAAAATAGTTTCTAGAAGTTTGAAATCTGCTCAGCATCTTTCTAACTTAAGAAAAATAATCCTCAAATAAGCACCTCTTCAAGTGATATAATAGAGGTTAGAAAACAGATGGTTCTCAAAATTTGTTTTGCCAATCATTCAGAAATTGTGAGTTCCTACAGATCACTTGATAAACATTTCTTCTTCTTCTGACTAAAGCATTTATTCAATTTTAGTACTTTTTTTTTCTTTCTTTCAGCATGGACATTCCTACACATGAAAGGCACAAGTCAAAGATCAGGCTAATGAGGGAGCAGTCTAGAAGTGGTCAAGTTTTATGGGGAAATTAGTTGACTGCTCTAACGCTATAATATGTCAATAGCTAGCAAAAGGCATTGCCTTCTTTATCTGATAATGTTTAAACATCCTCATCAATTTCAATAGTTTTATGCATGGTGATATTTTCTTCAATTTTTTTGTTCTTTTCAGTGGCGAAGGGAAACAAAAAGTAGTATTTCCAATTCTTAATTGGGAGAAAAGAGAGTTCAACTGCAGAACCAGGTGCACAAATTTGCCATATTGTCACTGTGTTCCCATGGATCACCAGAAAGGCACTCACGGATGACAACACAGAATGCGACAAATATTCTCCCCCTATATATAATCTTAGGCTAACTAACTTCCAGAAACACAAGGCCTTGTTTCAAATCTTTTTACAAATTATTAAAAGCTATTTTGCAGTTTCACTGCCCCAAAGTAAAGGAAATATCTAATGACAAATTAGCCTGTGTACTGATATCAAGTAACTCTATTTTAAAACCATCATCAAGCAAAGGCTAAGCCAAGAGCTGCAAGAATGATCAGAGGGAGTCATGAACACTGAAACATTCTAAACAGCAGATAATCACAATCTTTTAAATACTGAAAGACCCTACTGTTTTAGAAGAAGACATTGAGCAAGACTTGTCTTCCAAAGGCTGTAGGGTGTTTTCGTTTTTTCAATAGTAGTTCAATTACAAAGACTACTAATTTTAAGTAACAGCCCTCAACAACTACTACTTGGAGTTCATTGGGCAAAAACTAATAATCAAATGTTAATCTATGTTGGATTCTATGTTTAAGCAAAATCACAACAGAATATAAAAATTGCAAAGCAATATCTCAGCAGAGAGCAAATCTGTAACTTGGCACTACCTTCCTAAACCAAGTTAAAGAATGAACTTGAGTGCTAGAATCCCTCACTTATCAATGAATAACCAGATAACAGAGTCATACCTACAACCTTTCACCCCAAGGGCTAGCCCTGGATGACACTGTCAGAGAATGTATATGTTCTACCATCAGCATCCTCTCACAGGAACTTGCTATCAAAAAAAGGGAGGGAGGGAGGGAGGAAGCACCCCCCTCCCTTAGAGAACCCCCTTTAAAAATGCAGAAGTTTAAGCTCACACTACCATATGGCAGGACAACAAAGCAACGCCAGAAAATGTCTTAGAACATCATAAAGTCACGGGGCCACTATGACATCAGAAACCCAACACTGAAGTTCTGTACCAGAACTTTGCTGATAGAAACTCTTGGGTTGGAAAGGAGGCTTCTTAACACAGGAGAAAATGGCCACATATTATCTCCTGCCTTTTCTCCAGGAACTGGGACTCCAGGAGGATTATAGACAATTTTCAAAAGCTACTGTCACAGCTTCCTTCACTTTTCAGGCCCCCAACTCACCTTGGTCTAGTATCTCACCTCTGTGGGACTAATGCTTCATAATACAGTTTTCATGCATTTAATTCCTCATTTTTAGTCAATCCCAGAAAGAAATATGCTTCCTGAACATCAGAACGGAGCAACACTGAAACCATAAAACCATACCCAAACCATTAATTGTAAAATAAAAAAAAAGATTACAAGATTGACATTCTACATCAGCAGGCTGCTCCATGGGCCAAATTTCTGTGCTGCTCTTTTCCAAATAACAAGCCCTTCCCACTCACTCTACAGTCAAGTTCTTCAATACTTTAGCTCTGCACTCAGGCATATGTCCAAGCAACAGGCAGCCTATTTCAAATTATCCCAAGCTCAGGAAGGGGCTTGTGATTAGAACATCATACTGTTCTCCACTTGACCACCACTGAGGAAAAAGGTAATGGGCACACAGGGAAAGTGAGGTGACTATCTCACAGAAGGTACATATGCTGTGTCGACACTCAACATGAATGATCCAATGCCTTTTCTTATTTTAGTTTAATGAAAGGCTCATGGCCATTGAAAGCTCAGCACGTCTCATTAAACAACTGGAATTCGAGAACGTCAGTTCTAGAACATTTAACAATCTGCACACAAAGCAATTGGCCCACTCAGCTTCTGTAGGCAAATCTAAAAACGTCAAAGGGTGTGGACAGCTTGGATTTGTAACATATTACCATAGAAACTGGCTTCATTAATAATCCAAGCAGGGAGGGAGACAAAGTAAGGCCATGTTGTGCCTGGCTACAATGCTTAATTTCTAAATCAAGGTGAAGAAGTGAAGGTGGTATGGCATATTTGGTCCCCAAACCACTTTAGCAATCCGAAATCTCATTCACAAGCCTGTAAATAAGCTTTTAATTTGGAGTGAGTATGATTTTTTTCAATGCCCTCAAACCACCTGTAAATGTTGCAGGTTCCCTAGCCTACTCCACCAGAACACCCCGAAGCTTTTGAAAACTGAGTAACATTTGAAAATACAAATGTCATTGCTATTTCACTTGGACATATTAGTGCACCAGATATCCCCCCATTCAATTGTCTCCTGTTGTTCTGGATATGGGTGTAAAATCTCAGGTCTGCCTAAAATACTCATCTACTGTACTAAAAGCCCTATTCCAAAAAAGCAGAAGAGATAAGCCATAAACACATACCACAAACACTCAAATGATATATGTTTGTATGTGCAAATGAACTTGGATTATTTCAATATCCCATGAACGATTTCCAAAAGTTTAGTCTGTGTATTGCGAATGTTCTGAAACCTTTCCTACGAGGCATTTAGGATTGCGACTCCCACTTACCACAGTCAATGTTTTTGGTCCCAAGTGTCTATGAACCAGCTAGGACATTAAGATCGTCTGGGGAGGCCCTGCTCTCGGTCCCGCCAGCTTCACAAGCACGCCTGGTGGGGACGAGAGACAGGGCCTTCTCAGTGGTGGCCCCTCAGCTGTGGAACGCCCTCCCTGCAGACATCAGATCGGCCCCATCCTTACTGACATTCCGGAGGAAAGTAAAGACCTGGCTGTTTGAACAGGCATTTGACTAAGCAGTGCAACTGATTGATTAGCAGAACATGGAATAATGGATAACGAGACTGGATTCTGATTCTAGTGATGAGATCTGATGGATTTGTTATATTGATGTATTGATATATTGTTGTATTGATGTTTACTGTTAATTAACTTGTTATATGATTGCTTTTAAATACCCAATAACCTTGTACTTTGTATACTGAAACTGTTGCTGTTAACCGCTCCGAGTCGCCTAAGGGCTGAGAGGAGCGGTATACAAATAAAGTAAATAAATAAATAAGGGCGGCAGATGGGCAAAAGCTACCCTCATCTAAAATGAAGGTTCTAATTGCTAAGAATGTTGTTAATGTGTTTTTTTCTGAGAAAACAATCATTTGAAGAAACATGGAACCCAGCATATGGTTTGCTCAAAAAGTATCCTTGGACTTCATATCTGTTCTTTTAATTTTTCAAACTAAATAAGCTAGTGGCTGTGCAACAGTTAAGAATGTCTGGCTAGAAGGCAGCAACCAACTAAGTTTTACTAGGAAGTACAGGACAACATGTCTTCAGTAGTTCCTTTCCTTTTCAGTAAGAAACATGACAGACACAGCTTATGGCCAACTCGGAACTTGATGCACAGTAGGCATTTCTGAACAATAGGAAGCACACAAAAACTTTTTACTCAGATACCTGTCACATGCAGGCAATTTCTTCACGTACTTTGAGTGTGTGCGTACACTTGTGTGTGTGTTTTGGCAAAAAAAGTAAGTAACAGGAAGAGGGTTGGGCAATACAGCCGTGAAAGCAGAACATCATGAAGAATGCAAGGGAAACCGAAAGAGATTAGACAATTCTGTTTTCAAGTTTGTACCCTGCAACTAGAGAGTATTTCCCTTTCATATCCACCCCCTCAAGTGTGTGGGACTGAAAGCAAAACTACTTTCTTAGCAGCACTCAACATTTTTTTCAAGCACGTCATGAGGCAGGGCAGTTGAAATATCCTAAAGCAGTGGTTCTTTACCTGTGGGTCCCTAGATGTTTTGGCCTTCAACTCCCAGAAATCCTAATAGCTGGTAAACTTGCTGGGATTCCTGGGAGTTGTAGGACAAAATAGGAGAACCAGTGTAGGAACCCAATCCCCTCAAAAACCACCAAGGAACACTAGGCGCTGCAAGTTATGTATTTCAGAGGAAGGAACTGTAAGACAACCTCTGAGTAATCCTTGCTTTCAAAAATCCTATGAAAAGTATAGGTTGCTATAAGTCAACAGGTAGCTTGAAGTCACTGGGAATTTCAAGACAAACCTATATAAAGGAGATCTCCCACCAGGCGCTGATGGCTTTATGGGGCAGGCAGTAACTGGGTCCCTTGATTTGGGGGTAATGACTCTCTGAAATTTGTACGTGGTCTTATATTTCGGAGGGAGAAAGTGGCTAAACCATCTCCGAGCATTCCTTGACTTGAGAAAACATTATGACATTCATGGGGTCGCCTAAAATGGGCAGGTGAGTTAAAGTCACATACATAGACAGTCAATATGGTGGTGACAGTAACAAAAATGAGACCTGGGCTACACAGGTGGGACAGGCCCACTCTGCCCTCCTCCCCCGCCTTTCCCCGAATGGCCTGCCCTGCGCCCACCCAGGGACACGGAAGAGAGCGACGCGGGAGGGGAAGGCGGCGCCATTGCTTTCCCCAGCGTCCGAGAGAGGCCCCGCCCACTCGGGAGGAGGGGCCAGGGAGAAAAGGGTTGGGGGCGAGGGGTATGACGTCAGCGCCCAGAACGCCCCCTCCTCCTCCTCCTCCTCCTCCTCCCCTCACGAAACGGCCTGTCGCGTAAACAAAACCCCCCACCTTTTGCCTTCCCCTTTGGGGGCATTTCCGGATTGGGAGGGGCGGATACAGGGGGAGAGGAGACGCCTCCCCTTTGAAAAAAAGAGTGAGGGGCCTCACCCGAAAGAAGGCAGGCCTTGGGTTGCTACGGAGACGTAGCCGGAAGTAGGCCTCTCTCTCTCTCTCTCTCGAGAGAGAGCAAGCCGCGGTGTTTACCTGCTGCGGAGGCTCTTCTTGTCACCGCCACAAGAACAGCTGCCACCGTTCCTCAACGAGCCGTACGTGTCTCTGGCATCAACCGCCTCCACCCCCTCCGCCTGATCCCTTCCTCGCCATTCTATTGGCTCCTGCAGCCGAGGTCCCGCCCCAGACTTCGCTCGACTCTCATTGGCCGGACGAGAGTAGTTCTTCCTCTCTACTGGCTGCCAGGCCGCGCCCGAGCAGCCTCCATTGGCTCATATTGAAGGGGCGCAAACAAGAGAGCGGGCTGTTCATTGGTTACCGAATATCGGGCCAATGAGAAACGTTCTAAAACTGAGGCGGATTGCTTGCTGCTTGATTGCTTCATTCCCCGCCGCTCCCCTTCGGCACGCGGCCCCCTCGTGGCAGGAGCGCGAGGTGCACAGCGATGGGAGCACCGCAGCGCCCCTAGTGGCCAGGCCTTTTTTGCTTCGAAGAATCCAAGCTTGGAAAGCCATCTGTTGGTTGAAAATGCTTCCTGCAAAGGGTTATTATCCTATTCTCAACCTGGGGTCTCCAGATCTTTTTGG